AGCTCGAGAGCGCAAAGTTAGTTGAGCCATTTTGAGGAATACATCAAAACGTTTGTCAATGAGTTTAAAAACATTGTTCCTATGCTTCGTGATGTCCTTTATGTCGTTTCAAATTGTCGTTTCCTTAGCTTAAATTATAAAGCCAATACTGCATGAATCTAGAAAACTGCAGTACATCATGTATATAGGTATTCATCAATCGCTAATTACATTCGAAGTCTTGTGAATTATTCCATTGCATGCAAATGCCCTTTGATTAATTACCTGGGCCAATAACAAATTTCGTCATACCCTAGTTAGTAATACATATGATACATTTGACTTGTAAGAAAAAAATGGATCAGATTGTTTTAAAACCTTATTCAGTTGTCACAATGTCGTTCCATAAAACAAAATTGCTAAAGATAGTAATGAAATGAATGGCCTAAAGGGTGGGCGGATCTAAGGAATCAGCAAGGCCGATCGAGCCGTCAGAGTGCTGGACTTAAATACAATCCAGAGACCTTGAGTTCAAGTTTCGCACTGACCGCTAGCTCAACTAGCTTGATGTATTTCTAGGTCAGGTCCCGAGTTCAACTCCTCGGCCACCTTTGAATTAATCAAATGGTTTTATTAACCTCGTGTGTGCCAGTTAGGATTCTTAACTTTTCCAAGCGTGTTAGAATTTAGCAGTTGTACCACCCCCCCTGGAATACAAAACCATGGAACCTCAGGCTAAAAAGCAAAGACCGTGGAAGTTATGGAAGAAGAGAAACAGCTGCTATTAGAGGTAAAAAAGATGCAGATAACACAAGGAAGTATTTTGTAAATCATTCATTCGGCGGTTTTTTTCAAATGGGAGTCATCTCCGCCTTTCCCCCACCCCACTTGGGGGAAGACTAGAAGTGGTATTCAAGTTTCCGTTTTGGAGACGGTTAACGCTTATAAAGATCGACCCTGCGTTTGAAACAAGTCCAAAGTGAACATTTAACGGTTTCTTTTTTACGAGATCGAAGTTCCATTAAAGTGAGGAACGATTAAGCTCATGACTTTTAAACACTGCTACCGCCGGAAGCTTCCATAAAAAAAAAAATCGTCACAGGAAAATTATATTATCTCCATAGAGAAATATTACAAAAAAATCATGTTAAAAAAAGGCCCAGAGAAATTTTTCAATTTGATGACTTGCGATTTGCCGAACACAATGTGCGTCAAAAGTTCTTTAAGTCTAGTTTTTATATTGAACCCCCGGTATATGATTAAAAGGCTTTGCCTAAACATAAAGCCTGGTGAAAGAAAACAAAAATCTTCGGTCCTTCATCCGACATCGATTTCAGTTTACAGTTCATTAACTGCGACTTTATAAAATGAAAAAACTTTCTAGATTGTTTTCAAGATTGAAGTGTTGATTTGAAAACAATTAACGAAACATCTGCATTTGGTTTTACGCAGATTACAAAGCTTCCGAAACCTTCAACTAACAAAAAGAAAATATTCTTCTAATTAAATCCACGGAATACCTTTTTTAAGTCTATTTGCTAAGGTATTATAGCCTAATGGTGGCGCTGTTAAAGCTATAATCTGCTATTCAAATTGTTTTGTTATTATCAATATTGTGTTATAAAAACGAAAAATTATTTTTATCATTCAACCCTATTTGCAGTGGCTTTATTTCCCTTTATTCCCACAAAAGGCTGAAAATCCTGAGATGTTTAACAACTAAAGATGGACTGTGTTGTATCGTCAAAACAAATCAGAGAGTGGACTATTTAGTCAGGAAAAAAAAATACTGTTTCGTTTCACTACCCCCGACAGAAAATTGTGAATTTGAAAGAAAAATTTTTTTCAAATCTATTTGTTCAACCGCGGCTCAAACAGGCTAGTACGTATTAAGGAAATAAAACCGAAAGTAATAAGCGGTATGTTTTTAATGTTTCCTGACATTAAAAAAAATTAGCCGGGTAACCAGTATACAGTGAAATATTCGTGGAAAATAGCACTGGCAAAGCATTTTTTTTGAAAGAAAAAACGAAGTGTAAAACCGTTGCTAAAAATGCCCGCCACAACAAGGTTAGTTGCAAACAAACAAATAAAACATTTTTAACCTCTACTCAGCTATATCTAATTTTTGTGTTTATAACCTGTAAATCATCAATATTGCTCCATTTCAAAATGACAAACACTGCATTATCACAAAACCTACCTGATAGATTGAAATTTAAGGCGGATTTGACCGTGCAGTCACTTAGCTCAGTCACTCATTACAATTTTAGTTTAAAAACCTTGCACTCGGCGTCTATGAACTTTAAGTCAGCAACTATTTATCATAGGCACAACTTAAGCGTTTAACCGCTGATCAAAGAGACCAGTTTGAGACGAAATCTTTTCAAAAATACGTAGCCCGGAAAATAACCTGCCCATAAAAGTAGAGAACAATGGTTAAAAGTGATTACTTTCAAATGAAAATGATTTTAAAAAAAGGGGGAATTTATTTCTCGATCGTTTCGGCGTTCATTGTGCGTTAAAATGTGACCTGCGTTTTCAAATAAAACAAAAATTGGAAAACGGCGAGGATAACGGAACTGACGAAATGGCAAAGAACACGCGGTAAAAGTTACTTTTTCAAAAAATTCGCAATTCTCTATATATAGTGAATAGAAATGAATTTAACTCGCCCTGATATGATTCCCACATTTTTTTTGTTTCAAATCGCACTGAATTAACGCCTACCCATGCAAGTACTGCTCAACTACATGGCATTTCAGTTCACCTTTACACGAATTTTCATTTGCCTTATACGAAACATTTATGTAAGAATTCTGTGTGCTTCCGATGAGGCTGTTTAATTTCTTTAATGAAGAATTATACTGCGTGGTCTTCAATAGTTAGCATTATCATTTCCAAAAAGACTACCAACCATAGTAACAAGAGGGAACAAATAATAATTATGTTCCAGTCTTAAATGATAGTAATAATTGCAATGTTTAAAGGCAAAACCACAGTTTTCGTATTAATAGTAATTTTTGAAAGCTCTTTTCATAGGAAAATGCTCAAAAAAAGTGGTCACCCACCTCTTCCAGCGAAGAAACCGCTGATGATTGATTCATGAAAAAGCGGGTCCATTATGATCATTCAAAAATATTTATTTTGACTTTTAGGATCTGATTTATTTAAATTTGTGTGGTAGCAGCTGTAAAAGATAAGCTTATGTTATCAACCAACCATTTTCAACTATTTATTTTGTGTTTAACACCCAAACACGGGAAACGGTGATCTTGAAATGGCATTGGTTTAGACGGCGTTGATTGGATATTGTCTGAATCAAAAGTATCTTGAATAAGGAACAAGATAAGAATGTACGACATAATGGTTTTCCGAAGTCATCCCTCGAGATCGGAGTATTGTTAAAAATTCATCTCAGTTCGAAACGTTTTTGTCCTTTTGGCTCTGATCTTGAGAAGAAAGCGTTGCTGAGATTACCTCAATAAGATTTGTTTTTCAAGATTTTTCATACAAGGAATGTGAAAAGTAATTTAGACTTATAAGCAAATCACGTCCATTTGTCTCTTGACTGTCTTGAATGTTAAGTCAGGCATTCGGGGAAAGAAAAATTTTCACAAAGAAGGCAGAAATGAGTACATCAAACACTATGCGGAAATGAAGAAATAAGTTTAATCTGGGGGAAAAATACCTTTATACTTAGTGAAATTTATTTCTGCTCGGTTAGAGTCCGCAGCTATTGTAGTCGTACATTTCCTTCATCACTCGAGTTGGTAGCGCAGAGCTCACTCTATAAGATGAATGATGACTCGTTTAAACTTAAAATTGGTTTAAAATGGTTGAAAACTGATCTGTCTATTTTTAATAGTGTCGCACTCTAAAGACTCCTTTTAAGATGGCCACTAAACTCCCGTAAATTCAGATTAAGTAGGAATATCAAAACAAGTTTTATTTGTTTACTAAACGGGGAGAAACTGGAACTAGAGACGGCTATTATGACAGATGGTAGCCTGGCTTTGTCCCTAGGTTTTATCGTACTTCAGTAATTTTATCGGACTACACACAGTCTTTATTGTCCTCTGTCTTAGGCGAAGTTCTTCTAACATTTATCAAAAGAATTTGCTGAAAGTTAAATTTGAACAAAAAAAAAACAGTTGACTTTACAATACGAAGTCTATACGATACGATACGATTCCTTTCCCTGAACACTGAAGAATGGAGGACTGGACTGGAGTGGACCAAAATGAATTTATCTACGTTAAACTCCCCTGACTTGAAAGATTCAAAATACAACGCGGAGGAGAGTTGCGGGGGGAGGGGAGGTTCAACCAGTTTCTGTCCCCAGCCCCGAAGCTGTCTCAATACCCAGGGTGCTCAAACAATCCCACGCCTCATTTAGTTCGTGCAGGTCTGTAAGCTGTCCAAAATCCACACTAACTAGACTGGTCTTTGCACCGTCCGCCCCTTAAGTTCTTAACTTGTGGTAGTTTCAATTACAATATCAAAGAACGTCTGAACATTTTTCTCTTAACAATGTTTTAAAGTGTTCGAGCGTTTTAGGTGGGAATGTTATTGTCCACGAAACGAAATGTTTCGATTTCATCAATTTAAAGCTTTGTTTTCTGTGAAAATCTTTTTTGAACTCATTCCGATATCGTGAAAGGAAAATTCATTTTAAGATGGCGTGCACGTGTTTTTCCTGAGATTAAAATATTATTGTAATCTCAGCACGGCTAAACAACGAACAAAGCTGTCTTAAAGCACTGATACAATATTTGTCCCTGAAAGTTCTTTACCGAGTGTAAATTGACCTTAATTTGATAAAACACACTAACGATTCTATTGATCATGACTTCTCCATTTCGACGCCACTGTTATTTATAAATTGAACCTGTTTTAAATGTGTTGTTTTGTTGATATACCATCGGCAACAATACCCGTCTTTTGACTTTAAGAGCGTCGGTTGCGCGCGCTCCAAAACTATGACGTCATGCACTAACAAACTCGCCCTTTCCCTTCGAGATCAAAGATGGTGATAAAGGAACCAACATGACGGACTTATTTCATCATGAGCGCGTCGAAAAAGCTCTAAAAGGTTAGTTCAGCTTAATTTTCATATTTTCTTGAAAAAATAAAGATTCATTGCAAAAGTTTCCACTTGCTGTGAGGGTCAAGCTAATTAACGTTTTATTTGCCACCTAATCCTTGGAAACTTTTAAATCAAGTTTTCTTTAAAATTTTAAATACGATATTACAGCAATATATTTCCGTGTAGTGCTCTTTTAGGTACGTATTACGAATGTGTAAAATGGATATCAGTTCTCTTCCATTTTTTACTTAAATTGTCGCCATAATTAAAACTTTAGGGTACCGGACTTAGATCCAAATGTGATTTCCTGTGGTTCCATTGTTTGACTAGTGTTCAACCTGCGTTTTGTATGTTCGGCCAACCCATACCACTGAATAAGTTGCTGTATCATCACTGACTTAGAAAATCCAGCAGTTTTTATTCCGTCAAAAACCCATATCTATCGCGGTTTACTGTTCAAAGCTTAACGATACATTCATCAACACTCGAAGACCTCGAGAATATATTTCTTTTTCTTTCGAGCTGTCAATAATACTAGCAATATTTTGATTTAGCTTCTAGAAGAAAACATAAACGAACTAACGGGATCTCAAGAAGACATCATAATACTAGATTTGTGGTGTTTTGAATAAGAATATCTTAAAATTAAATAACGATTTCAACGTTTGTCAAATAGTGAAGTCTGTTTCTCAACTGTACCAATCAGTGGCGGATATTATCTAGCAAATCTAAAATATTTTTACTCGTAAAAAGAGGAGAAACATCAAAATTATTCACAAGAATTTAACAGACTGGATAGCTTATCCTAAAAATCAGGAATAACTAAATGGCTAAAGGTTGACTCAAGGTTGATTCCCACTCTCACGTAGTTTTTGCGTGCGTTCGCACGTGAATTTTACGCGCGTAAATAAAATAGAGACAATGTATGGAAGGTCTCGCGTAAACGTAAAAGTTGAACCTCGCTCAACTTTCAAGTTTACGCGTGGCCTTTCATATATTGATTCGTCTTCATTTACGCGCGTAAATTTTAAGTGCGTTTGCCCGGAAAAATTACGCGACAGTGGAAATCAACTCTCAGGCTGTGTCCACACTATAAGTGATAGCTTTTGGTGTAGTATATATGAACAGCTGGCGATACTCTTTAGAAATCAGCGTTTTTCGCTTCGTTACAAATCGCGCCAAAATCACCTTTCTTATGTGTGGACGGAGGCAATATCCGGTATGGTTATTGTGCCGGCGCAAGAGCTTTCAGGTGTATGTTAGCATAGCTTCAGCTTCCTAATCAGAATCGCATGAAAAAAAGGAAGCAAAAAATTAAACTTCTTATGTTTGAAAATTGAATTCTGGGAGAAGTACAAATGTGCTCTTATCGAAAGTGAATCACACAGATAACTGTTCACTCTGCTTTACGCTATATTAAAGTATAACCTTCGTTATTTGCTGAGGACGTTCGATCAGCCCCACATGAAAGTAAGAGGAATTTAGCGTAATCATTGCTGAGGCTTACACGCCTGTCTTATGATCTTTGTAATGTGAGCACGACTGGCCTGTATTCCCTACCTTGTTATAGAGTGTTTTTTAAGTCCGAGCTGTCAACAAGACGTTTTAAGACTGTTCGGACAAATACACGTACGTGATACACTTTCTTTTTCTAAATGGTGCTATCCTTTCCCGCTTTGCTTTACCCTAGTTAAAAGCATATACAATGCTTGTGTGGTCGGCGACCAATGGAGTGAAACAAAAAATAAAATCAGTAGGCAGTGCAAGCTGGCACAGAGATTAAACAAATGCAGATTTTGCAGTTATCTCATTCAAGTTCTTAGCCTGCGTTGCATCCGACCAACGCATCGTTTAGACTATCGGTACAGGCGGTTTAGACGGTCTGTGACGCAGGCTATTTCTGTTTAGTAAAATCCAACTGGTGGTCTATTTTCAATGCTGCGTTCTGATTGGTTGACCTACTACAAGGCTATACGTAAAAGCCCACTAGTAGCGAAAAGCGTCTGCTTTGAAAACCAAATCAATGGCGGCTGAATCGCGTTTTGCTAGCTAAAGTTGTTTTGTCTCGATATTTTTTACCAACTAGTTGGCTAGTTATTGTAGTTGGACTTGAACCCAAAAGTTGGATAACACTAATCCACGTGCTTGTACCACTCAGCTATTTGCTTTTTGTGTGTGCGGATCAATTAGGTTTCTGGGAAACTGCCCACCTACCCCTCTTCTAAGCTAACATTAACACTTACTTCTCACTTAGAGCAAAATGATGGCTTAGGCGAGGAGTAGGTGGGCAGTTTCCCAGAAAACCTAAGTTGATCCGTGTTTGCTCTAGTTCTTTAACTTTACAAATCGTTTTGTTTCAGTCACGAGGACAATAGTTACCTACTTAAATCTCAGGTCATCAGATACTGAAGAGAGGACTGTCCAGCCATGCCCATGGGATGTGTGTGTCTTGTGTTTTTAGTGGGTGTGGCAGCTGCCTGGGCGGGGCTAACACGTGAGTGAGCATCCTTTAATTTTATCCCTCAAGGTTAAGTTCTGTGACGTAAGGAGTTTTATCTCCTTGTAATTCTGGTATCTGTGTCGTCTTAACAACCTTTTCTTACGCCGCACAGTTTAGCATGGCTTGGTGTCTCCACCCTCAGCTAGAGTTCACAAATATAGCCATCGGGGTTATAGATCGTTTTTGCATGACATCACGAAGGCTATATTGATGTACTAAATTATCGTGGAGGAGTGACCTCTTTTCTCATGTAAAAGCCTTCCTTTTGTCCGGAGAAGTTTACAAAGCGGCTGACCACTTGTCTCAAAACAGTCTATCACAATCAAATTTTCTTTCGTTCCTTCTCCCTTCATTTCCCCTACTCCTCATTCACTCCTCAGTTTTACCTACTAGCTCAGTCTCATATGTTTGCACTCTTCTCTTAAGGCGCTTCTGATAGCCTCGGACTCTTTCCGATACTGTCTTAAAGGATTAATTAGTTAAGAATGAGCAGGGTTCACTTACGCAGCTTAGCTAATCTGAGCCCAAGTTTGGTCTATCATCTATGTCATTCCAGAGGATTACAACCAAGTCTTTTACCTTGGGTTTGATCGGTACAATAGTGAGCGACTTTACGATGACTCCCAGCACAATAACAACGCCACCCTCAGGAACGCCTTGCTGGACAAGGTACCTGGAAGCTGTGGTATGTGTCTTAAAGTGTGTTGTGGCGGTGGTGTCGAAATAGATGGATCGAAATTCGTTGGTAAGTTGCATTCACCTTCTTTGGTGCATTTATAATGAAATCTTCTAAGTACTCATTGTGAGATTAAGGTTTTATCACTTAATTAGACACCTAGCAGGATATCAATGAGTCAACCCGCAAAGGAAGTCAACCAACCAATTAAAACTTTCATTGATCTGTGCGTGCGGGCACCCAGTCAATCAACCAAAAGTGCAACCTTCAGTGATCTGTGAGCCACCATGCAGGTTAGCTTATTGCTCAGTCATTTATTGGCTGACTGCCCCACTAAAGGATGAATGACATACGGAAGTCTTATTAAAAGAAACACCTTTAACTGGAGTAACAGTATTGCCAGTATTTTGATTTACTTAAAACGCCTATCCTACTGGAATCACCTAGATGGGCTGCTTTACTATTGATCAACGGGGCATAACTTTTTTATGGGAGGCAACATGGCCGAATTGTCCGAACGCTGGACTCGTAATTTGACGTCCAGAGGCCTGTTTCTCGAAAGTCCCAGTAACTTTTCGGGCCAGGAAGGTTGTTTTGTGTTTGTCGTGTTTGCATTCAAGACCAATAATTTTGAAAATAATACAACGAAACTATCAGCTGACGAAGCAAAATTGACTGGTTTATGAGGTAGAAACTGTGCTACTATCTGTACTATTCAACAGAATTTAAAATTTGCCTGAGGGCCCGAAAAGTTATCTGCACTTTCGAGAAACGGACCCCGGGTTCGAGTCCTACCCTGATAACTAGCTGGATTTTTTTTTTCGGTGTTTCCCACTTCAAATCCTCGACCACGCTAGTAAATAACTAAAGCCAACCCCTTTGGCCCCCGCTTGGTGGGTTTCTTAACATACTTATACTGCGATTTTTAAATTCTAAGAGGGCTATAATAAAAACTACAGGGTTACTATATACATTTAATTATTTAGTATTTCCCAAATCAGCAAATAGCAATTTTCGCGCGTTTTTATTGGCTCCCGTAACTCGGAATATCCTTGGCTATTCATTGTTTTGCGACCGGAGCCAAGATGGCGTCTCGTTTCGAGACATTTTCGGAAGACGAAATTTTGTGCGACAAATTAAGCAGTCGCACAAACAAATATCAAGAAAGCGACGAACTTGGGCTTTTCAGTGTTCACTGGTAGGTAAAAAACTATTTTCATGCTGAATTTGCAACAACATCGAAAAATGCACTTGACAAAATCCCCGAAATGGTTGTAAACTGTCAAACTACTAAGTGAAGTTATTTATTTACAAAAAGTTACTTTTTCCAGTTTTATTCAACTGATTTGGTAAAGATTAAAACAACTATGCCCCTTAGGGTCGGTGAACAGTGCAAGATTCAGTTATATACCGAGACGGTTCGCGTCTGGCTAAATAAGCACTACTATTCACCTCCCCTTCGGGGGATAGTTGGATACTATTACCCTAGTTAAACATGTTTATCTTTTTTGACTCTTAGCCGTGGCAGGATTAGCTCAGCCGGTAGAACGCCTGACTACAGAGCGGGAGGTCGTGGGTTCGTTTTCTGGGACCCGACCAACACTCAGATTCTTAAAATATCTGAGAAATAAAAGTACTTCCTTTGCCGTGCAAACGGCTAGGTCTTCACGTGGCTCGGATGACCACGTAACTGGTGGTCCCGTCTACAGTTGGAGACGTAAAAACAGAGTTCCCAATTGGTAATTTGGTGCCAAATACATATTGACACTCAAATAAAGCCTTTTTTCACGATCAATGCAGGTACCCCATACATGGAAGTTATGATTGCCATGATGGTTCAGCTAAAGGACACATCTGGGACAATAGTGCTGTTTGAGACAATCGGAGGACCGCCAATGTCTAATCACGGGGACTGTGAGTGCATGTTTTCAGTTTCCCTTACCTGAGACCGAGAAAAAATTAATAAGTCCGTTTAATAGCTTCACAGTAGTATCTTGTATTAGGTCAAGAGAGAGTAATAGGCCACTTCCGAGTTCCAAAAACCCTCACTTTCAAAATGAGGCTAGGTGCACAACCTTTCTTGTGAAAATGAGTTTTATTTGCATGAGAATGAAAAATATATCAAAGGCTGAGCATCTACCCTCGTTTTGAAATAGAGGCCCGAGGGAACTCTGAAATGGCCTATTGGACAGACAGGCAATCTTAGGACGTTGGCCGGGATATGTGAATTTTTAGCGATTGTAATTAAACGAAAGTCCAATTCTAGAGACGGTCGCTCAGGTTAGCCTTCTTCTTGGCTATAAAATTACAAGAAAAATCACAAGCTTTTCATTTTATGTTTTAGCCCAGTATCAGCTAGAAGTAGAAAACGCGAGAATACGCTGGTTTCATCGAAACGAAAACGGTTCTACAGTGTTTAGCATTGTAACCGACGGACCGGTTCTTTCAAATGGCAAATGGTTCCATGTGGCCGCAATGTACGATGGTCTGCGAGGTAGTGCTAAGATTTATATTGATGGTAAATTGAGCAAACAAGAGTCCGCTGATCCTGGTGTATTCCTGTCGCGGGACTGGTCTAAATATGCTGGTAGGTGGAAATAAATCTGAGAGGCCGAAAACCTTAGCTTAGTCATTAATGAAGGGATATTCCGTTTCGTGTAGAAAACAAAACTAACGTTACACCGTCGTAATAAGACCAGCGCGCGCAACTTTGGAAACAGGAAGCAATCCAATGAATTGACAAGAACATATTTTTATCCACATACACAGGGATTGGTGAATTTGGCGGTAGAGGTCGCTTAGAAGGCTTTATAGATGAGTTCTACATATACAACAAGACACTCGCTGAACCGGAACTCAAAGCACTCATACAAAAATGTCAAGGGCCGAAGAGCACGATGGTCTTGCATTTGAGCTTTGACAAGAAAAGTGGTACCCAGTTTCTGGATGATTCAGGGCTGATGAACCACGCCAGAATGCCAGGACCACCTGCGGTGCCAGGCCAGCCGATACCTCCTCCACCGCCTCGTAAGTATTGCACGAACCACATTGGTTACTTGTAATTACCTCGAATTTGGTAGGTAAGCAGTTTCCTCCCTCTCACTACATTTCACAGAGCAGGAGCAATAGCAATAGCCATGCGAAAAGAAAACTCCTCGAAACGCGCTTTTTGCACTAGCGCACATAGTTTGACTACTAAGAAGCGTATAAAACCCTATTCCTAGAGATGAATTAACAAACGTTTGATTTCGTTTCAATTTTCTATAGCTGCTAAGGGAAGTTGCGGAGATGGCGTACAGCTAAGCGGCGGTCAAGCAGACGTGAAACTTGACGGCAAAACCTTCCGAAACAAGCCAATTGATGGCGTAACAATAGCATTATGGATAAACGTATCCTCTGTAAATGGTCTGCATTACTTGTTTGACACGATCGGAGGACACTCGGCGCATAAACATGACCAGTATCTGCTGACCATTAATAACGGAGCCGTAAGTTGGAGTCATGATGATGAAAATGACAAAGAGTTGTTTAAAGTGATTACCGATCCTATAGTCACTGAGAGTAAGTCATGTGCCTCAACTTGTTCTTTTCCATATAAATCAAGTACATTGATCTTAAAATATTGCTAGATATATATATAAAACTGAATCGCATTGGCAGGTTCTGTAGGATAAGTTGTTCATTGTCTCAGACTTCCAGTTGGCAGTTGGAAAGACCATGTTGCATGCTCGGGGCCATGTTCTGTTGTAATTCGCCATCTTGTGCGCATCTTGAATTGTTTACGGAATAAATCCTTGCTGGAAGTCTAAAAGTATGATAGGTTCCTCCGGTAATTCCTCCGGTTTTTGGCTACAATATTTGGTGACGTTCGAGCCTGCACCTCATCATATCAAGCGGGTCAAAGAGAGCAAAACAACAATATATTGAAATAAAAAACCTGGATCTCAGGTTGTCATCACTTGAAACGTTGCATTATCGAGTATCTTATGTCGGAACAGCTAACGAGAGAAGTATCACCACTTACCACTCTTTCAGACGCACCAACGGCAAACTCGCTATTCCTCTTCCCCATACAAACTTTATGAAAAATAGTTTCAGTCACTCTGGAGCTGTTGTTTGTAATAGTCTTCCTATTGAGCTGCGGCAGGCGAACTCTCTTGGGGCCTTCAGGGCTGGCTGCAAACAATTCTTATAAAGATCTATCTATACGGCACTTATGTCAAGCAGGCTCTAAGTTTAACTAGGTTTCTTAATATTGTAAGTCATAGTAATTTTAGTTTTGTATAGAAATAGTGTTTTTAAGGGCTGATGAGTTGACTGTGTTAGATAAAGTCATTCATTCACTCGATCATTCATAGATTTATACAAAACTCAGTATATTTATTGTGCTTCTTAGATCAGTGGATTCACATCGCAGTAACCTATGGCGCTCAAAGTGCCCAAGCCAAGATCTATATCAACGGGAACATAAACAAGCAAGGGCCTGGGTCGGGAAGACTGTCAGAGGACTGGGACAGCTATGCAGCATTTGGCAAACACCAGGGATCAGTGACTGACATCGATACATTGGATGAAGTGTACATGTACAGCAGAGAGCTGTCACCATTTGAAGTCAAAACACTTTACGACAATTGTAACTTCGGTTCAGCTAAAACCCGTAAGTTAACATGCGTAAAATACAGTGGCGGAACCAGACCTCCAGATAACGGGGGCCCCGGTCATCCAGACCCTGGGATGAGGCGAGGGCGGTTTTAAAAAAAATATATTTTTCGACCCTTCGGGCCTCAGTTTGGTCTAGAAATAAGGGGGGGGGGTCGGGCCCCCCGGGCCCCTCCCCTGGATCTGCCATCTGCCAGATGTCTTCAACTGAACTTGAGAATTTAATTATAGATTCACATTTATTTATTGCTTTCCTTTCGTTTTTCAATTTACTCCGAAGTTACTGTCATCTTGAAAATTTTTGGAGGTGTATCATAGTAATATTTCATCATCCTGATTTTATTTATATTTTAAGAATCGATTGACGATTACTATGAAAATCCTCAAGACAAGAATTAACTTTATCCCTTAGTTGGGAAAGTTTTTGGCAACAAGATTTTCCTTTCTTTTTTGTGAGGGATAAAAAACCAGAAGGTTGATTAAATTCAAACAAATATACCATTATTACCTACCCTACACAATAAAATATAAGAGGCGCCTCTCACGTTTGATTTACGTATCTGGTGAGAGCGGTAAAATCACGATGTCCTTTCAGTGCTTGATAATGCGATAAAAAATCTATTTTATCTTTGCTTCCTTGTCGTTTTAGCGAGCACAGGCCAAGTGTTCTACTTTGGGTTTGACCGCGTTTCAGGCAGTGCGGTGTATGATGATTCTGGAAGCGGAAATAACGGTGAACTCACCAGCCTCGCCACTGTGACTAAGACCAGTGGGAATTGTGGGAATGGTCTTCAGCTACATGGAGGTGAGTGAAAATGAGGAACAAGCAATTGATACTAGAGGGCGCCATAAACCGCGCTATTTGCTGATATTTTTGCTCAGTGTTATTTATGGTTCGAAGAAAGATTCAGAATTGAATCATCTTTTGGCGTGATTTTACAGTGAATAGAAAAGAATTAGTCTAGACTGGCCCCAATTTCGTACATGGTTTGCTCACATAATTAAGTTATGTATTTAAAGGTAGAAAAATACCCTATTTGCCGGTGAAAATCTTGGTCTTGTTGGTGAAGGTCTTGTTCAAGAAAAAAGGGAAATTCGAAGTAAACAACGGAAAAAGAAATTATGGTGTTAAATCTTTCTATCCAATATAAGAATTGTCATCTTAAGACAAAGTCAGTTCCCTGATCTTGTTTCATGATTGTGCAATTTTTCACTGGCATCTTTCTTCAAAACAGTACCATCAAAATGTGGTTATTTGTAGTTTTTCGACATGTAAACCACTTTAACCGCTTTTTCATTTGCTTGTTAAATTAAAACATATTTTCACAGATTGAGCAAAATCCTTTCTCAGGAGCCTATTTCATTTTCCGAAGAAACTTTTCGGGCGGTTCTGTAGAGTCTGTAAATTACAGATCCTAAATTTCGGTTGATACGAGGTCTTTACCAAACCTCACAAAAAAGAGAGATCTGACGTATTTTAAAAATTTGTCAGGTAACATTCTCATCAACGGTCAGCTGGTGAAAAGGAAACCGCTGTTCAGTGTTACCATAGCGCTGTGGCTCAAACTTGATAGCAATCGTGGGCAACAAACCATATTTAGCACGTGCAATCCGGACAATCCGTGGAATACTCGCGCCCAGTACTCACTTGAAATCATGGACGGGCGAGTGAGGTGGTTCCATCGGAACGAAAAATCGCAGGTAAAAAATTAGTTTACTTTGATTGTTGTTGTTGTTCTTTTTGTGTTTGTTTGTTTATTTTATTTTATTTATCATTATTAGTAATGATAACAGGACTGAATGGAGTCCAATTCGGTCTGTAATCACACGAGTGATTTGTTTAATCACGAGTATGATTACAGACCGAATTGGACGACACGAAGTTCTGTTACCAATTAATCATAACTTTAACAAAATTTGTGATATAATAGGCTATTTTTTAAATCAAAAAACAAGAATTTGAGATTTTGTTTTGCTAGCAGTGAAAAAAAAAGCCATTTAAGCGCGCACGTGATGGCGCGTACTGTCCAATTACTTAGGCATGACGCGTACTGTCCTATCAAACTGTCCAATTAAGGCTGAAATCAGGGCAGTTGATAGCCAATCAGATGTGAGAATTTTGTTATAGTTATGATTACTATTGTTATTGTATAGTTAAGGTGCAAGACCTCTACCAAAAAACCGTGTAAGATCAATCGTGCTCAACGTCGGATAAAAAAAATCGCGATCATTGGCATGAGAAGTAATAAAAGTATAAATTTTTGTCATAAAGACAACGGCAAGGACTGATCAAACAACGTGAATAGACGGTAGTTACAATATTTCGACTGGCCAATACCAGTCTTCATCAGGTTTATTAGGAAGATCACGGATTAACAGAAAGGTATAATTGCCATTATCATTATTATTATTATTATTATTATTATTATTATTATTATTAAGAGATAACCTATAGTTCAAACGAGCACGAAAACAAAAGCACAAATACAGGCTCAAGAAACTCTCATGTTTGAACTGCAACGAAACAAACGCAAGCGCGTGCGCATGCGCCAATTTAAGTGTTGGATATATTTGTCTTGAACGAAGCATTTACCTTGAACGGCTCTGGATGAATGAATTTACTATAAAAAAGAAAAGTTATTTCCATTAAGCCCGCCTCGTTGCCAGAGGTGAAAATATGGAGTTAATTGTATTTATTATGAAAGCCTGAATTTTTTTCAGGCTATTTAACCGTATGTGGTGATCTTTTCTGCATGCATTTCTTCATCCTGCAGTTTAAATATATGAAATTCATATATTCATTATTGCATCTTCATCTTTCCCGGGTATACGCCAATTGCACATCTCCCATAATGCACCTTATTTGCCCCCCAAAATTTTGCCTAAGTATTGTTTTCAATTTCTCTTGGGACGGCTGTAATACCCTAGCAAGCGAGAAGCAGACGTATTTCCAGTCATCTCTTCTCTCTTTTTCGGAGGGAGAGAAGCGACGACTGCACTGGTATCGCAGTGGTCAGGGATCCAATCCCGGCAAGCATAGCTGAATCTTTTCAGGCTTTCTTTGCGCAACTGCATAAGTTTCGTATGTAACTGTGATGAGGTTTTCTGCATTTATCTTCCTCATCCCGCAGTTCAAATATATGAAATTCGTATGTTAATTATTGAATTTGTAAGTATTAGTAAAATGCTAGACAAGCTTGGAATATTTTCCACGGCTTTTCACCATAAAACTTTTCTCACCTTACTGGTCACCAAGCAGTCAGGAAATCCGGCTTTCTTTCTTGTTAATACGCCATTTGTAGTTAAAACAGTATTGGTCGATGTCACTACATTCTCACACGGCGTCCAAACTCAACTAAACATAAATGTCGAGGAAAAGAAACGATCAGGAGGCAAAATGCCAGATCTTTACGACGACGGTGATGAATACCAGTAACAACGATGACATATTTCTAGAAGGTGATGCAAATCTGGTGACTTTAAACTGGCAGTCGCACATGAAATGAGGTTAAGCCGGTCGCCTTTTTGCTGCCAACCAAACAACGATCTTCTCGTGAGACAGTACTTTCAGTAAAAGCCTTCTGCGATTGGCTTCTGAATTCTATCATGTGTGCAGGCGTGCGCGTACCTGTCAGTCATTGCTAACTTCGCCCTTTTTGCACCAATTTCAACATTCTGCACTCAATTTCACGTTTTTGCACAATACTTGGGATAAATTGACACGTTAATCACCAATCAGATTGCACAAATTATTGTATGTATATTATTAGCGTTGGAATCGGACCATAATCATGGGAGACGTCATGAATGTGTTAAACAAAGAGGCGTTGGTAACAAGGTGTTCGTACTGTATTTACGGAACAGTGTTCTGAAAAAGATTCCCTATATATCACTAATTCGCGACCCTCTTACCAAAACACTGACCATTCAGACAGAAAAAAACTGCAGCGCCTTGGCTTTATACAGAAAATTGGAAACTGTAAAGGGATCTGTTATATCAGCCTTCAGAATGGGTTTTTTCTTCAAAAATATCATATTACCGGTCTTTGTTGCCCCTCCACAATTTTGTATAAGCATTGTTTTCAATTTCCCTCAGTGGGACTTACAATCGCCCCAAGAAAATTTGAAAACAACGTCTATGCAAAATGTTAGAGGAACAACAAAGAGCATTATGGAATTCTTGAAAAAAGCCTTTTAGACTTACGATGCACAAAATTGCTCTTCTTAATTTGCTTTAGACCGTGTTCAGCGCGGAGACAAATAACCCAGTGGTACCTGCACTTACGTGGACTCATATAAGCTGTACCTACACAGCGTCTGGAGGCAGATCGGAGATCTACGTTAATGGTGTACTTAAGAAAGAAGAGTTTACGGGCTCGGGAATTCTGTCACAGGTAAATCACTCATTGTTTATTAGTTTTTTAGTTTTAACAGAATGTCATAGCAAAGAGCAAGACTGTCTTGGGGGAATTCATGTCTGTCACATTTCATACGGTTAATTTCCTAGATTATGGTAATAAGGTTTGCGAACTTCTCAAGAATCAGAATTTCGTCTCTAAAAATAATTATGAAATCTACATATCCGAAAGGCCCTCCCTCTCTTCCTTTATCCTATCTTGCAAATGATTAACAAAGCATGAATTTCTTAAATGAAAACAAATTTGACTTGAAACTATAAAGTAGCCATCGCTTCTCCAAATCGCCGGTATTGAAAAATTAAATGGCTGAAAGAAAGCCAGCGTAGCCAGGAAGAAAAAATAAAACTCTTAACACCTTGTCTGTGAAACAGTCGTCTACATTGAAAAATATACCTCATTAGCTTTCATAGAATTAGTTTTCTTTGTCCTTACTCGCGGCGTGGGGTAAAGGTAAAATGAATAAGAAGACGAAAGAAGTACGAACGAGCAACTCTGTCAATCTACGGAGAGATTACTTTAATCTAGTCGTCCCTTAATAGTCTGACCTACTCATACAATGCCGGTTTACTGATTCTTCGAGTTTCTAGGACGTATTGTGAGCAGGTCTACATGCATCAAACTGGATCAGCTTATTTTGCATACATCCATATTTTCTTCACTATTTTCTCAATTCTTATGCTACCAATAAAAAAATTAAAAACATCACATTTTATTATATGGCTGGCTCAACGAGCGCGCAATAAGAGTGCCAATACGAGCGCGCGTATTGGCTTCCTCAACGCGGGCCAAGATCATATAGGCCTGGATTTTTCGTTCCGCTCCCAGAAGAAAATCTTCTTTTTGTCATATGTTAAATCCTTTTTTGGCCAAGCTTATTCGATCACGATGGCTACACATTGGCCCCGCTCAAAACACCAAAAAAACTTGGCTAAAATGTGCAGCCATATTAACCCCATGCACGCTTGAAAGTGCTGTGACACGGGATTTAACCTAGATGGCAAAATCCCGAGGAGACATCCTAGTAGCTCGCGCGTATATATAGGAAAGTACTTACAGTTGAAATATGCAGTCGGTATGCAGAAAGAATCTCGATTTGCTTGACAGGGGCCGCACGGAATCGTTAGGTAATGATGACATTCCGCAAGTCAAAAGAAATAGTTAGAATGACGTAAAACAGAAAATGCCCTAAGGGGCCGCTTAGGTTATCGATTTTGTGACACTTATCATACAGTCATTCTTCGATACGCTTTTGCGTTACTTTTGTTCAATGACCTTCTAAGGAGCAGCTGTTTTGAAAGTTATGGACCGAAAGACAATCGTTAAGCGCCGATGAAGTTTCAAGGGGCGTGTATCAGTGTATATATAAACACTCGGAGGGTTTGCCAGGCACGAGTTTATCATTTACCAATCTTTGATTGGAAACGATTTGCCAGACACAACTCACTTTGGGGGAATAAGACTAAGTCCACAAACAAGCAAGTTTACCAATGCAAACGAGTGCATCAAGCTCGCTTATCAGCAGAATGATGGACGATTACAGAAATTCGCCTACAATTTAATTCTGTACTGACGTATTTCCTGCACACAGATGTTCCTCTATAAAGCCTTTTTTGAAGCAAAGTATTGTCTTAATAGTTCAAAAAAAAAAAGACTAGAACGCGAACGTGAATTGATCAAACCTTCAATTTCTAGGGCTTACTTTCCGGCTAATAAAATGAACTGTATGTAAAAAGTGCAAGAGAAATTACAACTTCAAATCAAATCTTCTCGTGTAGTTTAAAAAACTTTCGAAACCGAGAATGTTTGATCAAAGCTGCGTAAATCGATAGGAATAAGTGCATGGAACCTTTCGTTTCCTGTTTTTATCTCAGCTATTGTATGGAATATGTGTGAAAATTTTCATTATGAAGCGGTATATTTCAAAGAACCCTGACACAAAGACCATTAATACAATTGAACAACATACAGAACCATCTGGCATCTGTAGTGTCAACAATTACTAGTTTAAAGACCTTGAGTGTTGGTCCGGTATTGCCTAGTCCCTAGGCCTAATTATTCCACGCAGCCAAAGCGTTTCGGGTCACGTGGTCCAAGCTAAGTGAATTGACCGAGAGGGATTGGGAAAACGCCGGGACTAGGCAAGGCAAGGTCCGGTCGGGGTTTAAACCCGCGACCTCTCGCCCAGCTTACCGGCGCTCTCTCAACTGAGTTAACCCGGTTGTCTGTTTGATTCTTTCAGGACTGGGCGGGTAAAGTCAGCATTGGAAAGTCTTATGAAAAAGCAGCTGACGGAAAGTGGGTGGAAACTAATCCGCTTTATGGCGTTATCGACGAATTTTATTTATTCGAACGCCCGCTCAAACAAAACGAAATCACCCTGCTGGCACAGACGTGCAATTATGAAAGAGCAGTGGTTCACTACGGCTTTGACCTATTCACTGGTACAACGGTGTATGACCAGTCGGGTCTGGCGAACAATGGCTTAGCTATCAATGGGACAACTTCGTCTCTTAATGGGACGTGTGGCAAGGCCGTTAATATGACCTTGGGACAAATAAGGCTGCCTGGAGATGCGTTCAGGGAGAAACCTCAAAAAGCCATCACGATATCAGTATGGGTCAAGCTACAAACAAACAGGTACGGCAATATTGATGCTTATACTTGGTGGAGATGACTGTATACGGTTTGCAAATATTCGGCCTGTTAGGTTCCAGAATAACTCCCTGATAAGAAACAATTCAAGTGAGACCGCGATGTCCCTTAGCAAGAGATCGGGTATTCAATCCACTTTTCTTTTTGTCAGTATAATGATACTTGTCATGACTTCTAGCAAGTAGGGTTATTTTATTGTTGCTTGAATACTGAGTAACTTCCTGACTTCCTGGACTTACGGTTTTCATCCATCCCCATTCATTTATCAAATTTATAGGTCAGTCCGTAATTTGAACAGGGTCATGAAGCATGTTCAAGCTTCTGTGGGGGTGGTCTAAATATCAAGCAGATTCAGCAAAGACACCGTGGCGGCAGAGACGACGGTGCGTTCAGTCCTTTCTGCGCGCTTTAGCGTTCTCATTTGAGGTTGTGATATCTTTACGAAATCTACCTTTTTGTTGTCTTCTGAACCTATCCCCATCACCTGTCACACACCTGAGACTATCCAAGGGTAAAACAACTCATTTTCGTTTTTCGAAACCTTTTTAGGGTGCGTTCGATGGATCATATTCCGGAATAAGTATGTTGCGAACCTCTTCAACCACATATTTTTTTGACCACTGGTTTCATTCATCTTAATTTTTGATGTTCATCAGATTGCTGGATTTCACCATGCAATGGAAGTCAAAACAAGTGATTTTGTACTGTTTAAAAAACGAGCAGGAGTGTATTATCAGAAAAACTCGACGCGAAGCCGAGAGTTTTATACCTGCTGATAATACACGACTGCGAGTTTTTTTAACAGCTTCAAAAGCTCTGATATAGATCAACTCATTCTTGCTCTAATATTTAGATTTGGGGTTATTTTGGTCTAAAAAACTGGACGTAAAGTTTAGCCGTGTCTTTATCAGATTTAAAGATATTGATTTTCTTTGTTTTTTTCTTTGTAAATTAGAAATAAGTTTTTCAATTAGAGTATATTCCGTGCATTCTTCCGAAATACTGTCAATTGAACGTGCCCTTTGTGTAAAGCAGATACAAGAGAGAATGATTCTCTCTTGGCAGATAATATAACGGCAAATTGTTTTGCCCTGCCACGAATTTCTCTTTAGTTCGCTCGTAGAAACATGATTCATATCTTTTGCTTCTCTGGGCAATTTTTCGCAGGGGTCGTCACGAGATATTCAACACAATCGGTAGCCATTCAGATCACAAACACGATCAGTACGACTTCGCAGTGCAGGATGGGAAGGTTATCTGGTATCACCACCAAGAAAATGACAAGGAAGTTTTCAATGTCGTCACCCTTCCCTGCATTCCGGCGCATAACTGGACGCACATAGCCGTCACGTATGATTCGCAAGCCATGTTGGCCATAGTTTACGTGAATGGAATTCTTGTGAAGGCGAAGTCAGCAAGTGGAGATCTTTCCCAGGACTGGGGTCATTTTGCTGGCATTGGAAGACATTTTTATGAAGGGACTTTCTTGTCAGGACTAATTGACGAATTTATAGTTTATAACTATGCCCTCAACGGCACGATTAGGTATCTAGCGCAAGGTCGCTGCTGGTGAAAAGAACACCTTAAGAATATTAATAGTGTTAATGTTTTTGATGACAAGCGTAGCTATTTTGAGCGTTTTTATATTCCCATTAAAATTTGAGTTAGAAGCTTGCAAATGAGGCGAGCAAAGGCCAAAACCTAGTAGGAAATGTGCGGAAGAGTTTGAAACACCCGTGGTCACATAGCCCGAACTTAGATCTGAATGGGAGAGTCTGACCAAAAATACATTTGACTTTAATACAAAATGTGCATGTATACATTCATGTAAAAATCAACAATAGGTTCTGCCCCAGCTTAAACAAAGGCTTCGTTTGTAATACGTTAATAATCCCAGAGGATTAGAGTTGTCGTTAGCTAATTTGATAATTCAAAGGGCAGGATGATACTACTACAATCCTGCACAGGACACCCACCGTTTTGTGATAAGTGCATGTTAAATGGCAGCCATCTCTGAAACAATCACAGGAGGGAGACAAGAACGTTCTGTGAGAAGTAATTGTGTACATAAAATCTCATCTGCAATGATTACGATGGTGCCCAAGCCCCCCTTTGCATTCCGCTTTCCTTATGGACACCTCTCTAAGTCCAACTCCTTCTTAAACGGACGTCTTAGACGGAGTTGACTGTTAGTTTTACTTACGGCAAACCACGCAAACGTTACTGTCGACCTTTGGTGCCACCGGAATTGGAGGGGGAAGCAGTAGATTTCACCTGGGGGCCTGTTGCACAAGGATCACAAGAAAGCTTATCTGGTATAAATAGATCTATTAGAGATTTTTATTAAACATGTTAAACAAGCCCTGGCTCGAAATTTCTTCTCGTTCTTCACCCAGTGTAAAGACTATTTATCTATTAAGCGGTAGACAAACGGACACAGGTGTAAAAACAGTATCGGCGATCAGAGGTGGTATGGGTGGAGTCATGTTTTGATGGACCACTATTTTATCAAGGGTATAATAATACCCATCAAGCTCTTTGCGCCGCAAAAATTGAAAAAAGCCACAGGAATATAGGCGTCTTGGCATGTGAAAATTCTCCCACGAATAGCTTGCGTGAGCCTTTTTGTTTCAAACGCCAAGGAAAGCTTTGCGGAAGAAAAACGCCTGCTCTTGTAGAATTGCGCCCTTTGAGAGGTGGGTGTAAGAAAGGGAGAAAAAGGTGTGCAAAACATACAAACAAACAAACAAAGAGAGAGAAAAGGTAACACTCTTAGACTCAAAAGACACCAGCTCAATGCCTAGCAAGTTACGTGTGACTTTATACAGCGTTTCGTCCACGGAAAATACAATGCAATAATAAATAGATATAATCCTGCGGCTGTCAAAGCCACAGCTAGCGAGATGCGTCTGTACATGACTGTAAAGTGCGTTCGACTTACCTTTAAAAACGGAAAGCTATATTCCCCCCCCCAAAAAAAAAAAAAAAAAAAAACTACAGAGAAGCAACCAGAACAAAACAGCAGTAAGCGTAGGACACTTGTTCCTAAACACAGGCTTACGGTGTATAGTCGTTTCGCTACAAGATCGTTTCGCTTCACGTTTTTCTAACCCGCTTGTAGCCGAGTTCATTCTAAGCGTTTTTAAAACGGTTTAATACAAAAAGCCGGTGGCAGCGAATCGACTTATGATGAAGCGAAACGACTGTGCAGCGAAATGACTTCATTATGGAGCGAAACGAGCTTGTAGCGAAACTACCGGTAACCACACTTACACATCCTACTTACAAAAAAGTCGAATATACTCGTACACAGTTGGAGAACTCTCTTTAAGTCGCACACCTTCGAGACCAGCTCTTTTTGGACGCCCTAAAAAGAGTTCAGCGTTTCTAACAAAGCAAAACAAGCAGTAAGGGTTATCCCCGTTATTTAAACCTGTTTTATCTGAGATTTCCGGGATCCTTTACTAATACTCATAAGAAAGACAAGATTAAACTGGTCAGAATCGGCCGCACGAACGCACTTTAAGTAACCGGTTACTGATGGATGCGATGATAAGTCCGTGGGCAGGACTATGATGGCCTCCAAAGAGAACACGTTGACTGGGCACCAATGGATCATTTTGTATTTCCAGTAATGTACTGGGACTAGCTTTCAGTCGAGGCTAACCCTTGCGGGTTGGGGAGAGGAGATTATTAACGGAGAAAGCAGTAGCCTCTGCACAGACCCCCCTCTCCTCTCACGCTAAGAAAGCAGAAGGGGGACGAAAAGTTTCTCTCCCTTCGCTGTCTCCCCTGTTGCTTATCTCTTCCTTCCCCTTAAAACCCTGCTGCTCCTTCCCCCATTAGCTTCGACCTCACGCTAGTTCCCATAAATTTTGGAGAATACAAATAAAGGCTGTTGTAAATAATTTTGTAAAGGCAGCTGCAACCGAAACATATAAACAAAATGACGTGGCCGCTTATTCCCAACCCAAGGTTTTTACTACACTCATTGGTGCGAGATAAGAAGTTGTTTACCCTAACTATTATCTATACAGTCAATGAATTTAAAAAAATGGCTTCGAGTAAAAATAGAAAGGTGGGAAAATTAAGCTACCTGACTACTTTTACCCCAAAGCTGTTGGTAAGAAGATGAGTACCAGTTGTGTTTCTTTTCTTACAAGGGTGCTGATGTTACACGAGACGATTCGCAACGACGATTTTTAGTGCAACCCAGCGTTGCGACATTGTTGCGACATTGTTTCGAATGGTTCCAACATTGTTCCAACATTGCAATGCTGTGTTGCACGAAAAATCGTCGTTGCCAATCGTCCTGTGTAACATCACCTTAAGCAACGACAACAGCGACGGCAACAAAAATGGGGAAAAAGCAACAGGTCCAGATTGGCAAAACAATAAATTTGCACGTCGTTGCACGACTACAACGCGAAAATCCCTAATTTCACGTTTTGTCGACGACTGGAAGACAAAACAACCATTTTCCTTTTTCTTTTCCTGAACTTTGATACAATCCTTTAGAATTCTACTCCAAAGAAATTTGCCAACATTTGACAAATCGAACGAGACGGAATAAGCGCGATAAAGTTTGAAGCAGCGCGAATTCACTTTTTAAGTGACGTTTTCGTAGACGTCGCCGTCGTTGTTGCTTAAGCTCCCTAATATCAACATGAACAGACGTTGGTAATGAAATGATATGGCGCAAAATGTTGGAAAGTATTTACAAAACTTTAGCCTCCACGTGAATTGACTATGCTGAGTCCACGAGGGCTCATTAAGGTCCGTTTTCTATGTCTATTTTCCACCGAGAAATCAATCAGCAGACGAAACTATTCAAGCTCCAGTACTGTGGAAAAGCTATTCTTCTCTATTGTTTGCTTGACTGAAAACATTTGACAATAATACCAATCTAAATTTGCAATGGAGAAGAATTAATTGTAGACTAGAAGACATTTAGCTCGAGCTAAAACTTCCCTAACAGTTATTAAAATGTAAAACACGAAAAATTACGTTCGTAAAGGACGCGAAAAGACCATGAAGTGTTCGTCGGAAAATAACAGCGATACAGAAAGAAAAAGACTTTGGAAAAAAGTATTTCTTGCGATCATCTTTTAGTATTTCACGAATGTAAGGAAATAAAGAAGTTAACTATAATTACCCTACGAGCAAGCTCTCCATAGCGAGTGTCGAGAGAAGCAAGCCGCGAGGGGTGGAGGAAATCCTCTTCCTTTGATCTCGAGTCTCCTCTCGAGTGCCGCCCGAGCGTGTCTCCTCTCGAGTGCCGCCCGAGCGTGTCTCCTCTCGACGTCCCCAGGATGGAGAGTTTGCTCGCAGGCCATTAACAAATGTACAAACGATGCCTTATTGTTATTTTCGATGATGCTTTCTATGGGAAAGACGTCTGTAGAAAGAAGGATCTAGATCGGCAGCTACGTCATTCGGAAGCTTAGAAATGTGTATTGTGCGTGTTCTATGCTTCTGGACATCGTTTAAAGGAACCCATTCGTCTGGCAATCTGTAAACCAAGGATGGCAGGTCAATTAATATCATTCAAATTTCATCACATTGCTAGACACGACTAGAAAGACTTTCTCAAAGTCAGTCGCTTCTCGTTTCCGGTTCCGGTAGTAAGCCCCTTTTGCAGCAGAAAACATAAAGAATCTCCCTCTCACGCTTCGCGCGCCTGAAAAAGTTTGAGTGACAGTAGATAGAAAGCGCACATGAGAGGCGAGCGACGAAGCCGCCATGAACAAGGGCGGAAGCCCAAGCGACGAAAAATCTCTCCTCCTTTTTCCCATTAATTTGCATAAACTGGGTCCACTTGGTTGACATTTTTATTTGCCTTGCGGATTAAAAAAACTGTCTTCATTAATATCAATATCACAAATTAAACACAACTGAAAAATAACGTGGCAAAATAATTGCTCTTGGTCATTACTAAACGAGAAGGAAAATTTGAGGTGTAATCTACAATGTATGTCAGGAACGATTGATAACGTCACAATGAATGTCATCAGTTAAGTTACCAAACCAGAAGGAAAATTTGAGATGTAATCTACAATGTATATCAGGAACGATTAACAAGGTCACAATGAATGTCATCAGTTAAGAACATTTTTTCTTTCCGAAATCTCAAGATACTAGATTTGTGCATGCCAAAGAATGAAACAACATTCTGTGCAGTTGAAATACGTCGAGGTAGGGCCATTATGTTGTTGAGTGATCAGTACTGTTTGTTTCTTTTCCCTTATTGAATTAAGTCCGTGTTGTTTTTGTCAACTTGCCATCAGTATAGAACTTAAGAGTGTGAGTGACCATCTTTTAAAAAATAATATAATAATAATGGTAACAACAATAATAATAATAATATAATATTAAATCAATAATAGTAATAATAATAATAATGACAATCATAAGTTAAAACAAATGAGAAAATCATTTCTACACAAACTTACATATAAAAATAATAGTAACAATAAAAATAATAATAACATTAAATCAATAATAGTAATTATAATAATAATAATAATAAAAATAATAATGACAATAATAATAAGTTAAAACAAATGAGAAATTTATTTCTACACAAACTTACATGTCTTCAGGTAACCATCTTAGAAGAACGTCTATGTTCCCTGACTTCTCTTCAGTTCTTCGTCCAAGTACCTGCCATTTATTGAAAGCATTAACATCAATATTACCTCTTTCATTGCTCTCACTTACTATAAACTAGGAAACCAACAGCTTCTGTTGGAAACACACGTGTGTGATCATAACTTGAACTGCTAAGTGAAGAGAATTCATATCCATGTCAAGTTTCAGTACGATAAGTTCTCAAAAGGTAGAGATGTCAAAAAATGTTATATTTGCTAAAAGAGCCATGTCTAAAAGAGTGCATTGCCAGAATAATTTAGATGAGGATTTCAAACCATTCAAGGAATCCACAAACTTTGCAAAACATTGCTTTCAGTTTGAAATTGATAAGCAGGCACAAAATAATGAATAATATTGGCAAAGGTTCATTGTTTAACACTATGTTACAACAAGAAGAGATAATGCAGGTTGGTCATCAAACCGAGGCTGCAAATAACAGCGAACATCCCTGATGAAGGGATCCAGATGGGTTCCAAAAGCTCTGCATAACTTTCAAGAATTTGGTGGTTTTAGCTAATATCTTTGTGCAATCTAATGTCCTTACAGCCAAATCTTCCTTCTGTCAAGAAGAGAAGACTTGTCTTTAACAATCTGCACACAGCAGTACTTGCTATTATGCCATAATATGAACACAACATAAACAGTACATAATGATTCACAAAACCAAATAGAAATCAATTTTTCATCTCACCCAACTACATGTAATATTCTGTTTCTTTTGATATGTTGCAAGAACAGTTTGACGGCCAACTGGAAGTGGATATTTACATAACCACCACATGTTTAAATGGCATTAAGGGACAGGGTGATACCACTAACCTTGCTCTGGAAGACAATGTTTGCACCATCTATGCCCAATCTATAGCATGATACGGGCATTACATATGGGAGCTTTTCTTTTATACTTGATACAGCATGTTGGTCGATGAAGTCCTCCTTCACTGCAATAATAAGCATCAAAAAATTGACCCATCTCATCAAAATACAACTAATGGTGCTATCTGGTTACAATGACTTTCTCGAGTTATTAAACACTCCTGACATTTGGTTCAATCGGCAGTTTGGCCTTCACTAATATACTTGTATTAGAAAGGGGTTTCATTCCTTTTCCTTACAGCCATTTATCTTGCCCATACACGAGGAAACTGCAAGCCCCTTAGAGATTATTTTTCAAACAATAAACTTATTTATTGCAGCTGAACCCCGTTTTATGGACACCCGCTTATTATGCCCACAGACAGTTTGCTTTGTCCCTGGGGAAAGAAAGCCCTTACATTTTCTTTAAATTCAACCCAGTTAAAACAGAAACCCTGATAAAATAGACACTTTCTATGGTTCAGTTAGTGTCTGTATTAACGGGGTTTTACCATATAATCACTTTGAAGAGGCCTTCCCGCTGCCCATGCTGTATAGTACAAAGGAACCTCTTGATTTCTGCCACTTGCTCTGATAGTCGACTCAGGGCTTAGCCCCCCCAACAAGTATTCACCCACAGATGTCACAAAAGTGTTGAGATTGCCTGAGTCAAAGATCGTAATTTAATCCTGCATATTTTCTAACGTTAATTTGAATCAATTTTCTTTTTCCTTTGGGGGAAGAAGAAAAATTTTGAAACGGAATTCTCTACAATTAGAATTCCGCTATGATAGCCTTCCAAAAGTGAAATGTTCAACAATACTAGACGAAGCAGACCAACCTTGAGCTGGAGGTCTTGCTTGCCGGACAATCCTCAATTTCTTCTTCTTCTTTTTCATCACTTTTTTAGGCGACGAATCGTTTTCCGATCTCTGTCTTTTCGATGGTTTTGAGTCGTTGAAGTGCGATGGTACATGTCTAGCAAGGCCCTCTCGGGACGAAAATGTCAATGAGCAGCCACTTATCATACACTTAAAAGGTTTAACACCCGTGTGTGCGTTGACGTGTTTTGATAGCCATGAATGTGATAAACTCGGTTTGTCAAACACTTTGCAGCCTTCCCACAAACACACAAACACATCATGAGAAGCCATTGGCTCAACATGAGCGGTCTTTACATGTTCCGATAACTCCGAGGCATTTTTAACCATTACATTACAAGAAATCCATTTGCATTCTAGGGTTCTTGTACCCCCAGTTGTAACATCTTTCGACTCCTGCCTGGCCTTCCTAAGAAGGGGAAAAAATAAGAAGCTTTTAATAAACAAGATCTCATGAACTTGTACAGTGAAGGCAACGGGTGCTTTGGGGACTTTCTAGGGTACCTGTTAGTGATGGGAAGGCATATTGAATGAGTAATAATAACATACTTACTCTCTACAGTTTTCTTGTGAAGAACAAGCTTCGATATTTCCTAGTTCTCTCTTTTTATGATGCAAGGCACCAACACTAGTTTCCTGAGATGAGACACCGAACTTGCAATTGTCCGCAAAAGAATCGTCGGATTTGGATGGCTGTTTTGAATTACTGGTAGAGCAATTTTCATTCCCTCTTATCTCAATGTCTGGAGTACTACATAAACTGTTTGGTGTTCCCGTCCCGACTGATTCAAGCTCGATCGTCGTATGACAACTGGACGATTCAAACTCTTCTACAGCATCCGCCATGTTTTGCTACCCCAATCAGCAATCACGTGGAATTAAAACGCGTTTGTTTTAGGGCAACCAATCAGAAGTCTTTATCAGACCAAGGCATGTTATAGGAAAATGCCAAAAATTTAAAAAACAAAAGCAACAAAAAACAACTTTCAGCTTTTTAAACTGTAAATTAATTATGTGAGTTGTTGAACCAAGGAAAAAAGAATGAATGAACAGTTTTAAAAATTCCTTTCGTGGACCAATGGCCGATGTTGAAATTCTTACATTTCGCGTCAGGGTTGGAAAATTACCACATAAATCCTCATCGTAGGTTATTTTTTCTCTTATACGATCATTATTTTTTGGATTCGCTTTAACAGTGTGAAACAAATTCTACCCTACACTACCCTTGGATAGTAAAAAGACTTTCTATTATCCATGCCCTACCTTACCCTAGCACGTAAGCTGTGAATGACTTCCAAATAAGGAAATGTTGGCGTCATCCAACACGTGTCAGCACCGCGTCACTTAAGTTTGTCCGCCATTTTGGAGAGAGGGGCGAAGCATTGCTAGAACGAACATCGCAGTTATTCGCTCCATTTTATCAAAGCAAGGATTTTTATGCGAAAGGCGCCATAGGATACCAGGCAAAGTATGCGCTGTTTCATTCTCAAGTAACTTTTAACGCGTTTTGTGGCGGAGATCGAGTGCCAAAGCTTTGTTTCGAAATCTTTTTTTATGCACTTCTCAGGCACGCGGTCTCACTGCATCGCAGCCTTCCTTACTTGTAAGCACATTTTCTATTGAATGGTAATTTATATCAGTTTCAGTGTGTTCAGTTGCAGTCCGTAACGCCTATGTAGTATGAGCAATTTCGTTTAAACTGTTTTCAGTTTGTTTTGTGCGTGTCTGCTTGCTAGCTTTCATGTGCTATTTGTCTGCGAGGGTTCGTCGCTCCTAGATGAACGGCTTTAAAGCTTCGAAGGTGCTTTTTTGAAGTTCTTTTAGGGGGAAACCGTTTAGAGGTTGCAAAAGTAATTAAAGCACTTTTTCTATATTGCTGATTCTGGAGACAGTGCGCGTTTCTTGTTCGGCAAGTTATCTCATAGACTATAAAGGCCTCTTAGCGGTCGAGGAAGCTTTTAAGCGTAACTTATAAAGCTTTTTAGTGTGAGGCAACCTTAGAAAACTCTTTGTTTCTATTTAAATAAACGTTTGTTCCTTTTGACTCTTCTTTTGTTAAGTGGTTTGTAAGGCTCCGTGATGTGGGCAGCTATTCGTTTTTTAATATTTAATCCAAGCACCCTTTTATTGAGTCTCGACAGCTACATCTCTTCTGCAAATATTGTTTTTCCTAACTTTTTTAATTTTGCGCTTCCGTTATGCAGCTTTCCAGTACGCCCGATAGTGATTGCGTGGCGCAAAGCAGCAGTGAGTTGTACGCAAACAGAAACCTCGCAGCAGGTTTGCAACAGACAGCATCTCGACAGCATTTGCAGCGATTGCCTCTGATTCTAAATATCTGGGGAGCGCTGTGACTGTAAGCATTGCATTTGACTGATTGCAAAGCGCCTAATACTGTTAACAGTTGAAATCTGTTCAAAGCTCCTATTTTATCATGGATATGTCGCAGAATTCAGAAGATAATGATACCAACAACAACTCAACAGGCAGAAACCAAGAAGAAATTAAAGACTCAATCTGTCGTGATTACCAGCGTGGCGTTTGTACTCGTGGTTCCAAGTGCAAATTTAAGCACCCCGATGGCATGGGTACGGAACTGTCAAACAGCCCAATGATCTGTCGAGATTACCAAAATGGAAAATGCTCACGTTCCACTTGCAAGTACTTGCATATGACCAATAATGAAGAGAAGATATATCTGCGCACTGGTCAAATGCCGCCAAGACGTGAATACCCTTTCGGAGGAGAGCCAACCCGGGCTGGGGCAAATGATCCCATTTGCAAAGATTACCTGAATCGGAAGTGCACGCGTGGGTCAGGCTGTCGTTACCGACATGTTCCAGAGGATGATCGTGATATGGATTATGGAGGTTATGGGTTTGACGGTCCCTCTGGTAAGCGTCGCCGGGAGTCATATGAAGGTCAAGGCTACTACTACCTTATGGATGAAAATGATGCATTGCGGCGCAAAGTGGCTGATCTGCAGAAGCAAGTTGCTGACCTAAAAGCTACAAATGAAGTTCTTCTTGAACAAAATGCAAAGTATCGCAATCAGATTGGGGAGCGTGGCAGCTACAATGGAAGTGGTGCCAGTGCAAACACTAGTTATTCCAGCTATGGTACAAGCTCCAGTCAATCTTACAACACATCATATCCACCACGGGATACCTACAGCAGTTACCCTTCCACTAGTGGAAGCACTTCATATCCATCAACAGGAAGTTATACATCTAATACTGCTTATGGCACAGGGTATACCAAGTTTGATTAGTATACCCAGATTGCAAAGATAGTGTTTTTCAAACAGAAACAATTAGTTAGAGTTGGCTTCCTGATAGTAACCAGAACAGAAAAGAAAATGAGTTGAAGGATGTTGGGACTTCAATTCTATTCTCTGTTAAACTTTCAACTTTGACATTTATGTCTATGGTCAGGGGTGAAGAATGAAATCATTATTGTAGGGCACTGCCATGTCAGTCCACCCCTTGTAGTTTTACCTTTTCATAATTATGTAGACTGGGAAAACCATATATTTGTAACCAGTTGACCCTTTTTTTTTCTGAGTGACATTATGTTGTTTGCTGTTAACAAATTCCACTATGACATTCTTAAGATTCTCCTTGTTTGTTTATATTACTCACGCTTTTTCCTTATGGGAGTCGAGTGAAATAAAAATCATTAGCTTTTAACTCTAGGAGCTGAAAAACTTGCAGACAGTAAGAAAGAAAAATAAAATCGGCTAAATAACTTTTATTTAACACTGTTGCTTTGCAACTTTGTAAGGTTTCTGTTATACAAGATGCATAATAAGACAAAAAGGATACCAAGCTAAAGTTTAAAAACAATAGTAACGTAGAGATATGTAAAATACTGTAATATAGCCGGAAAAAGACCGGTTTTCAAGCAGTTTTTTTGTGAAATAAAGTTCCATGGATAAAGGATTTTTTTCTAGAAAATAACATCGTTGCAAATGCCACTAATCAGTGGCAAGAAAAAAGGAAAATGAAAAATCTGGGATATCTGGGTAGTATTTTATTGAAAAAGGTTGCAATTGCAGCTGAGTATTATGTGGAAAAGAGCAAGGCCTAAAAGGAAGCCAATCCCAACCTCAGTCATCCCTGAGGGTGTCCGAGCCGTGGCAGCGCAGAAAGAGCTCTGGAGACGGGAGTTCCCTGAGTTTCCCAGCACCACCCCTGTAGCCACATTCTGAAGCAAAGAGGGAGGTGTGACATCTCATTGGTCTAGTAGGGTTAGCGGTCATCTCGTCCCCAAGTCATTTTGCCCCGGTTACTTTAGCCCCTTATTTAATAAAGGGGAATATTATACACACTGTTTAGTTCCTTTTCCTTCCGGAAGTGGTTCGTAGAAGGCCGGGGAGAAAAGTAAACAAAATAGCCAATCGTGGAACAAAGAATGTCTGCCTTGAAATTTGATTCAAATGATTCAGCTTAGGGACTGGTCAGAAATTAGCGAGGCGGGGAGGGGGCGGGAATTTTAAATTTGGGTTCGGAAATGAGGTGACCCATCCTTGCAATGGGAGTGAAATTTGCTACCCCCCCTGACCTTGGCCTAAAATATCATGAACCTCCCCCTCTTGTATAAATAATAAAATCTAGTTCTTGCAATACACTAGGGTGAGTCAGTATCATGAAAGCTCAAAATATATTTCTAATCTGTTCTTTGTAATGCCATATACATACATTTTAGATGACAGCATGATTCTGACAGCTGATCACTCGACTCTCCTATTACTCCCAGGTTTTTTTTTTTCAAAATAAAGAACTTCTTTGTTATTCTGTGGGTGAACCTCTACGTGATTACGGACACATATTTGCATGACCCTCCCCCTTTTAACGGCCCATTTTTCATGACCCCTCCCTTTTCTGCAGTCTCAAAAAGTTGTGACCCTCCCTATGTGTCCACCCCTTCCCCCCCTGCTAATTGCTGACAAGTCCGCTGAAGCTTGTCTCATGCAGGCGGGCATGCAGGTCATCTTTTTATTCTTCCAGGGCTAGTGGATATTGTGAAATAAGCGTTAAATGATTCAAATTTGCACAGGTGAACAAAGTAACTGTGGTTTTACGATCGTAAACGGCAGATAACGTACAGAATATTGAACGCTTTTTCTGCTTGAATGACCTGAACAGTCAAGCGACTTTCCGCTCGATCAAGTACTCCATATAAGGATTTTTAGATTATGGAATTCAGATTTTTGCAATACAGAGGGTCGTTTCGTTTAGTTTTGTTTCCAAGCTGGGATCTTTTTTCCTGGAAGCATAAACTGGAAGTTAAGGAAGTCCTCCTGTCAGAGGATATACCTGGATCAACAGGTTTGTGTACTCTATCTTGTTTTAGAGAGCGTGAGTTAGCGCGGGAACTGCGAAGTCCATCTTTGACGTCCATTATTATGGGTTTCAAGCGCCTTGAAGGTGTTCCACGATATCTTATTTGTTTTCTTGCAACACAATACATTCTTAGAAACCTCTTATGCAGCAAAACATGATTGCTTATAAACTGGCCCATCATCCGACTCATATATTGCTGAGATATCGAGCGTCGAGGATGCTTCAAGGAGACATCTCCTGATAGCGTACCACAGGATGCACAGTGAATTGACAACCCCTGCAAGCTGCTGTATTTTTTTCAATGTTGTCGACTTTTATATATAGTCTAAATTACATTCCCGTTGATCACCTAGTGTGACTGGACACCACTCAGGTGCCTTAATTTCTCTTTATATTGGTTAATGTATATTGCTGCGCCATAAGGTGTGTGGGTACTATTTGTAAAGCAAAATTGTTGTCACCCGGAAGTAAGCAACGAAATGATACTCTACGTGCCTAAACGCAGCTACGAGTATGATTTTTAAAGCTCGTAATGACTGTTTCCAGTCGTGTTTAGGTTGTAAAGCGGGTCACTTTGTACGTATACGATACCAAGTGGTGAATTTCGAGCTTTCTTTCAGACATCAACTCGTAAGGAAGTAGTTGATTTAAATAGAGGAACAATGGATTTTGCAACATGGCAGGACGTGAACAATCGATGAAATCAATAATCGATGGCAATCGATAACAATCGGTGACAATCGATATCAATTAATCAATTGATATTGATAATCGATGGACAATCGATGACGAAAATTTATGTGATTATCGATTATCATCGATTATCAATATCAATCGATAATCGATGGCACTCGATAACAATCGAATACAATCGATATCAATTAATCGATTGATATTGATAATCGATGGACAATCGATGACGAAAATTTTTGTGATAAATTATTCATTATCATCGATTATCAATATCAATCGATGGGAATCAATCAATTAACATAATAGACTGTTATCAAATATGCCTATTCAGTCACACATTTCAATTGCCAATTTCATGGAGTACTAATAAAGTTACCTTTTGATATCACTGCTTTTTATTTGAGTATAAAAACTAGCAAGTAGCAATGCGTAAACTTGTTTATTCGCCCACACGTTTCGCGCGAGTTTAAAATTGACAGAAACATACTACGGATTTGTGTGTAAGAAAAACAAACCCCACTGTTACGCGTCAACGAAACAGGTGGAAAATTAGGCGAGGTGTGAAATATTTTATGCGTGATGTCATGTTTGGAGCCAACAGTTTAGCTAAGTATTCGTAAAATATGTTCAATTTAATGCACACATTTTCTGTTATCCGTGACATTATTATTTTGTAACAACAACGATAATTTTAAAACTTAACTTAAAACGTCTATAGAGTAGAAAGAACCTGAACCTCGATCAAGTTTGTCAGTGAGTTTGTACTACTGACAACGAGATACATTAATTGTCTTAATTATTTGTGCCGTTTTTCACGGAGCCACATTGATGAACAATTCTCAAACATTGCTACTGAGGTTTAAAAATAATATACGATCTGCGTACACTCCCGCGATACCTGAAGATACGGAGACATGAATTTAGTACCAATCGATCGTAATCGATGAAGTTCGCGACCACCCAAGTGTGATTATCGATTGATCATCGAGTGGCTGATGCCAATCGATGCTAATCAACAGTAATTAATCAATCGATCAATTATTGATCGATTGATTTTCCGATCATCGATTTTCATCGATTGTTCACGTCCTGAACATGGGCAAAATCAGAATATGACTGTTGTAGAAATTCCTTTAAAGGAAAGTTGGGTAACAGAGCTGTATGAAATTACACCCCACATTGTAAGTAATCAGCAAACTTTTGTTGTTCTTTGGGTATTCTTCTGCCTGCGTTGAATGTTTCATTTTTTGAAAGCGTGTGCTATAACAGTCTGCAAAAAGCTTATTGTAGCTCTGTTGTTCTGTGGCTCTGATCACTACGCTTGTCGAATATTTAACAAGTAGACAGATTTGAGGTAACTATTTGCTAGTTATATACACATCTTATATTCTGAAAACTAGACTTTTGTGCTTAGACGGTATTTAAGCTGTTATCTTGAGCAATCCAAATGAAGATGTCATTGAAAATTTTATTTATTTGAATTATGTAAAGGTCAAACTTAATTTTCAGCTAATGAGCATCAAAGTTCTGTTTAAGATTATCCATTGCATCCTTTATTTCATTATTAACCGTAAGTTTTAATGTAACAATTAACAAATAAAAATACAATAATTTATTTTTGTTGGTTGACTGACAGTTCTCTGGTTTAAGTTTCATCCCTTTTTCTCCAATTTGTTTTTCATGCAGCCAGTTGCTTACAAAATTGACGTATCAGCCCCAAGCGAAATGAAAATAAAGAAAGCAAGGTTAAAAATATTAAGGCCCAGATGTTGTCACCCTAAGAGATATACATGAGTAGTGAAACGGTTAATTTTATTATAAACTTCTAATTATTTAAAAGGTAGCAAACTTTGATTGTGTTGTGCAATCTGTAACAAACACTGTCAAAGATAGGGCTATATTGTGAGGTGTACCAAAGAAGGAAGGAACTGGAGGGAGAGAGTCTGAGTATATTCATTTATGAAGTGCCAGAGACCTCTAAAACACTGATCATTCAGTTAAATTCAAGGTTCATCAAGTATCTATAGCTATATAGTAAATATAAATAAATCTATAGCTATATAAATAAATTGATAAACTATCCTTCTCATCAGCAGAATGGTGGGGTGGAAGGCTTCTGGTTTTGTCAACATTTCAATTTGTAATTTAGATTAATGAAGTGCTCACCTTAATTCAGATTACTATCAGCTGATTGACTTTTTTTCTCATTAAATAGGCCATGTATTCACACGGGCCTTGGAATGAAGGCCATTATAGTGGTAAGTCTATAATAGTAAATAAACTTTGTGTGCGCACAGACTGTGATTATCTCTTTAGAAGTAGGACAGGAAGCCCTTTATTTATACTTATAATACTGGCCAGGCCGCTGTGACCAAAATGACTAGACCTTGCAGCTGTTATTATGACTTATTTTCATGGGACTAAATTTTCACCCAAAAAAATTTCCCCCCAAAAAATGCAAATTAAATTGAATTCAAAAGACCCTGCTGTATAATAATTATTCAATGTCATCTTTATTACTGTCTCAGCTTGTGAGCTCTCTTCATCCAAGTCAATATATATCACCTCCTAGTTAAGATCCTTGGTGCAGTTGTCAAACAATCCATTCCTATCCATGCTCCTTGTTCGTACTGTTAGAGGCCTTTTTGTTTCTCTGTTCCTTGTTGTGACCTCCATTTCAATGACAGCTTTTACTGGAGTTTCCAATCCCTCTTGAAAATGCGATCTTTGGTGTAAATGATCCCTTCTATCAAAATAAAACAGTGCATAGGCCTTAATTATTTCTCTAGGCAAGCGATCAACTATTGACAGAGGTTTTGATCACTGCTGTCAATAGCAACTATTAGTATGGAAAATTGGAAAAGTTGTCCCTGTACTGAGATCAACTGTTTGCTATCACAGGTCAGTGTTTTGACAATTTTGCAAAATTTAGTCCCTTTCAATATATGTTTTCATCATGAAATTAAGTCCCATGAAATTTTGATTTGATCGTTTGATCGTTCTAATAAGGTAGTTGTTGCACAGGTGTACAAAATTCAGTGTAATATGCCTGTAAAACATTAATGGAATGTTATTTGTCATTGTAGATGCTTTGGCTATTAAGGCCATAGTGCCAGAAAAAGTTCAACATGATGTAAGTGCAAATATCAGTGGTATTTAAATTTTGATCAGTGTTAACTATTTAAATGATACATTTTGTAACTATTATTTGCAGCTGTGATATACGTGTATCTGATTGTTGTGTCGACGAAGGAGACGTTTCGTAATTGAGTCGTTGGCTATTCTTTGTGTTTGTGGGCAGCCTGTGCATGTTCCAAGCACGAAAAATTGAGAAGAGGTTGTCGGTGTTGGTTCCAAATCTGCGCCATCTTGAAACATCACAATAGCATCCAGCATGCTGAAGGTGCCATGTGCCATTTTGAAACGTCACTATAGCATGTTTGCGTCACAATAGTATCCATCATGCCCATTGCATTCCTGTTCCCAGCACGTTTCGCAACCTTTGGATCTTTGCTTCCTCGATCTTTTCTTTTCTAAATCTTTCGTACAATATCAAAGGCTGATCAGGGATGTATTCACTATTCCTGGAGCTTTTGCGATCATATTCTTTCATATTGCTGCTGGCACAAAACTGGTGCCTAAGGCCCTAAGGTGACGCACTATAATCTAGAGATACGATAACTGCTAGTTCTAAAAGTAAATGTGTATGTACAAAAGGCTTCAAGGCTTTAATTTATTTTAAGTCAGTTGTGTTATCATTTGGTTTAGAGTGGAGAGCAGATAGCCATTATCTTCAACCATAGATTGAACATGGACCAGAAAACAAAAGACCAATATGTTGTTGAATTTGTGGGAACAGCGGGTGCTGTCAAAGTTCATGCCACACTAGCAAACAGTTCAACGTTGATGCTACAGACACCAGGCAAGTCATAAGGCCTATCACCCTGCTCTTCCATGTGGATGCCGTGGTCACTGAAAAAATTGCAGATATATTAAGTCATTAATGGAAAAACTTTTCAATGATCAAAGGGCAAGCTGTTGCTGAAGATTACTAGCCTCGATCACTCATCCACTAGCCCCGAAATCCTAGTTGTCACCCCTCAATAGTTTCAGTAGGCCCCATTTAAGTGCCATCAACTCTTCTTGAATAAGTGAATGAATAAAATTGTGATATTCATTTGTGGCTACCTTTTCTTAAATCCTCTAGTATACAAAGAACCAAGTGTTATAACTGCTTATGTATACCAAGGCATTCATCGTCGCTTGATTGGCCAGCACAAAATTGAATTTCTGTCAAGGAGTGACACATTTTACAGACTTCTCTACAAGTCTCTGGATCCAGTCATTTTTATGTGCGATACACTAGGGATTGTATCAGGAGATATCCATGAACTAGACAATGCCCTGGCGGAAACATTTTCAGCCAACGCCCCTCAAGGATTTGACTTTCTTGGTATTCATAGGGAAGGAGCAGGTATTGAACATTTCAATCACATATAAACATCATGCACTATATATGAATACTGTAGTAAGAACAGCAAGACTCAAGAGGATTGAAAGAAAAGTTATATTGTCATGTTATTGTTTTGAGTCTCTAGTATAGTACTGGTACTCTGATGAGACTTGCACTAAGGGTCCATCTTGGAGAGATATGTCTTCCTTATTGTAATGACATGTACAGTCAGTGAGTGAATTAAGCAGGGACCAACTCAAGATTGGTTTTCAATTCCCCAAAATATTTAATCACTTAAGAGTTTTTTGGCTGAGTTTGTGCTTTGGGAGTTGTCTGTTGTTTCTAGTCTGTCATTATACAGCATTCTTGTTCAGCACGCGTGCAATGACCACGCTTGGCTGACTTGGGAATGCTCACTGAAATATGATAATTTAGTATGAGAGAATAGAAGGGATTCCCGTCACGAGTTATTTTAATTATTGGCTTGCATTAAACCTATGAAAAAATGATATTTTTTTAATAGTAAGTAGATTTAGTGTGTAGCACTTCTTGATTTTTTTTGCAAAGGCACAAGAAGCACGAGAATTGATTGAGAATTGTGGGTTTAACCTCTATGTATCACACAATGGCCTGTCTCACTGTACCAAAATTATCATATCTCGGTGAGCATTTGCAAGTCAGCCAAGCGCAGTCATTGCACGCGTGCTGAACAAGAATGCTGTATCATGACAGACTAGAAACAATAGACAACTCCCAAAGCACAAACTCAGCCAAAACGCTAAAAATCTTCAATGTTTACTCAAGTTTGGGCTTATAGAAGATAATGTCACAGTTTTTCAATGACCATGAAATTCACAGTCCGGGTAGTTAGTTAATCAATTGTGGCCCTGAAAAAATTTGAAGGAAAAAAAACTACGATTTTTTAAGAAAATGCTTTTTTCGTGAGAAGGACTCTTCAACGCTGACAAACGTCAATAAATAGCAAAAACTATAATTTCTACATGTTTGCTTTGCTCGAAATCGCGCGCATTTACAAGGCCCTAAGGCTTTTTGCTGACTTGCAAGGACCCATCTGTTATAACGATCCCCAAAATAAAGTGATCGGTCTCATAGTTTATTAGATATAATCGTGTAAAGTTTGCTTATCATTTTCGCATAAATTATGACCTAAATTTGGAAACCGCTGAATTTCTCGAATTGGGTCTTTGCGATTTTGGTGAAACTCTGTGCAGCGCAAGGCACTAATGCGCACTATGTGTAGCCGACAGATTTTCACAAAAAATGCCGGCAACAGCAGACTTTCGACTCAGTCCTCAAAGGGGCGTGGCATAATAACCACGTGACATTTACTCCGATCGCCAAAAATTTTGTGTTATATTGTAGATTGATCTATATGTTATCCATTCTCTGTGTTAGACTTACGATAAAAGTAAAGGTTGGGATACCAGAGAGCTTCAAAGTACGATGCTACCCCCCCCCCCCCAAAAAAAACTGGGTCAAGTCACCTTAAAGGGAACCAAGAAAGTGTCACCCAAAATGCATCAACAGTGCTAGAACCCAAAAGAAGACTTTTCTGGTAGTAAAATGTTCTTTACCATTATGATAAATAATTTGATCGTAGTTACTAAAACATGGAACGACCTAAAACCACCTAAAACCATCTACAACCACCTAAAACCACCTACAACCACCTCAAAAAATTCAACAACCACCTACAACCATCTACAACCACCTCAAAAACATCTACAACCACTTGCAAACCATCTAAAACCATCCAAAACAAGGTATAAATGTCTGAAATAAGGCATGACGACAACATGTCACGAACATGAAATACGAGAATCGAACAAAACATCCACCTCCCCCTAAAATCTTACTCTCCCTGGTCCCTTGTATCATCAACCATTGGCTTAAGTCACGAAACTACTATCAAGTCACAAAAAATAATAAAATAAAATAACGAACTCGTAGTCGAAAGACTGACTTGATTTGGCTTTTTCTACCCTGGGTACCAGTGAGTAGCCTGTGAAGCGCCAGACGCATTTCCGGTCGTCGCTTCTCGGAGGGAGAGAAGCGACGACCGGAAATGCGTCTGCTGCTTCGCAGGCTAACCAGTGAGACGTTTTGGTTCACGTTTCATTTGTTTACGCAATGGCACAAGGTAGGGTTTCCCTCTCTCTCGGAGTCTGCGTCACTGCTGTTTTGTTCTAAGGTGGCGGATTACATTCCTAATAACAAGTTAACTTTTTTAGCATCTCATCCGCCAAACATGTTTTTACATTCCAGGTGACTCCTTTAGAAGAACCCTAGTGTCTTTCACACCCGTTTCCTGTGTCATCACGCAAGGCTAAACTCCCTTGCGTCACGACACAGGAAACGGAGACTAGTAGGTGTAATCATTGTTAAAAATGTTATTTTAAAAAATCTATAATGCAATGGATTCAGAAGAAAACAAGTTAAGACGAGCCGAAATTAATAAAAATGGGTTGAAAAATTTTAATAGTGAATGATTGTAATTAAAGTAATTTACCTGGATTTTTATATACCTTTATTATGTTTTGGAACCCAACTTTCACCGCGGCCCTCTTCTTGGGAGTGATGGGATATGCGCGCTTCTTATTTTCGCTTTGCTCGTTGTAAATACGTCCCCACTATACTATCTGAGAGCCTGGCACAAGCTAGAGTAGCTGGAACTTTACGAGCTAAAATGAAACGAAAAATTTGGATCACATATTCGGGTCTTCCCTCCCCGCCTAGGGACGTTACTGGTAAGAACGTTTTGATTCATATTGCTGAAAAGAATTATCAAATATCATAATATAATGTTTTCTAATTCTTGCAACTGTAAACGGGTTAATAGCTGTATAAAATCAGGCTCTACAAGTGAGACACGTTCATACTAGACTAAAGGATTCTGCAGGACTACATACATTTGTGTGAAACTATTTCAGACATTTATACCTTGTTTTAGATGGTTTTAGATTGTTTGCAAGTGGTTGTAGATGTTTTTGAGGTGGTTGTAGATGGTTGTAGGTGGTTGTTGAATTTTTTGACGTGGTTGTAGAAGGTTTTAGGTGGTTTTAGGTCGTTCCATGTTTTAGTAACTACGATAATTTGATAGGTTTATGTAGGGTTGATGACCAATAGTTAAAACATGATTGCTTGATATTTGCCTGTTCTCTCTGTATATTTACAACAAAATGCTATAGTATATTTAACATGTGAGTGTAATATTGAGTCCAAAACAAGAAAAAAGATCCTAGGATTGCCTTTAATAATTTCTGGACGATGTAGAGAAGAAAAGAAGCTACAAAGTCTTCTCCCCCTAAATCAGTGAGTTCTTCTTCGCCTTCTTTATGTGAAGAATATTTGGTTTGAAGTAATTGATATGGCCAAAGAGACAATACTTCAAATCATGACACAATAAGGCTTGTTTGCAAGAAAATGACCAGAACTGCATGACTGACCAATCAGAGCAACAGCATGCAAAGAAAGTGGTGTGCGATAGCCTGGGGCTGGTGGATTTTGCTATTGCGCTAGTGAATTCTGTTCTTAACTTGCCCACAATCGGCAAGTGAGTTTTTTGGGTGAATTCAAATTACAGATCAAGAACTGCAATCAATCCTGCTCATCAAATTTTTTCAGGCTAGTTGGAATGACTTTCGGGGAAATACATGCCAGGTACAGCTGACGCCCAAATGGCAAGACTAAAACTAACTTTCTTTGCACCCTGGGGCAAGCTACCATCTTATATCATCAACCCCAGAGAGCCTTCTGTGCTGAAAAAAAGGGCAGATACAGGAAGTTTGAACCTGTCTTGTAGGCCTCTTTTGAGCAGGAGGGAGGGTAAGGAAATACTTGAGTAGGAGAACATTTTTTCATGCATTTTTGATTTTCTGTAGGAGTCAAGGTTCCCTTTAGACCATAGCACCTGAAAACACACACATGTTTGATAGGGAAATTTTGGTAGGGAAAAAAAATGGGCCAATCATTTTAGATTAAACCCAGTTGGAAGATTCCAAATTTTTAAAAACAGCACTAATTTATAACCATGTTATTTTCTGTTTTTGTTTAGATCAATCCAGTGCTGAATTTCCAACTTTACTTCACTTTGCATGCAAGTTTGGACTAAGCAAGCTAGTTGAAGTTATCTTACATTATCCTGGGGCTTATGAAGCATGTTCTTTGAAGAACTATCAGGGCCACCGGCCGTACAGTATAGCTGAGGATAATGGATATGATCAATTAGCAAATGAGTTACGTGCTTTTCATGTAAGTTCTTGATTTAAGTTACTTTGATTAATGAACTATTTTAGCATTTGATGCAATTTTTTCTTCCTTTTCATTGGCCAAGAGCCAAAAAAATTGAAATTTTTGTCTTACAAGTATATGCAAGTTCTCCTGGATTATGTGGGAGACTTTTGGATAATTGGCACATAAACTTCTTTTTCTCCCATATAGATCACCAAAACTCCTAGCCTATAGGTAAATTTAGCTTTTCTGCTGCGAGAGACCTCTGCTAGCAGGAAAGATTTTGTTAAGAATTAAGCCCATTGTTTCCCAAAGTTCAAAATATTTTTTGATTAATTGCAAGGTTAATTTCTATGGCATTTTTTGCTTAACCCATTCGCCCCTGAACTGCCCGTAACCGCCCGTGCGGATCCAGGTCCTTTCTACCCTTTGTGACGTCATCAGTTTTAATGGTCAAGGACAACTTTCTTCGCTAACTTGTGTAGAGTGAAGAGATCTTTCAAACCATACCAGAATGAGCACAATTCAGTCAAGGACACCGGAGAAAGAGGCAAAAAACCACGTGACATTGACCTGAAAATCTCCATGAAAATCTTGTTCCATTGCCCACCTACCTTTCCTTTCACCTAATCCTAACGTCCTAAAAGCTTTCCTAAAAACTCTTCCCACCAAAATGAAGCCTACTAAATGCCCAGCAAGAGAAAAAAAAATGAGGCAAGAAAAGCGAAAAAAGAAGGGAGGAGAAAAAGCGAAAAGTAAAAGTCAAGACTGCTGACTGTCACTTTTAAACCCAAAATTAAACTATCTCGAAATTTTGCTCTCTGCACATGCCCGAACTTCGCAAGCTGATGTTTTGCATCTGGATCAGAAGGCCGCCAAGTGTACAACCTGTAAACCGGTTTTTGGTAAGTTTTAGCCCTTTATAGCACGACAGTGACCAGAAAACCACTCGACTAGCTTCAAAACGCGTTTTTCGGCAAAATCTCCCGGAGCGAATGGGTTAACTAGTACATATTTTACCAGTAAAAAAGATTACACTCAACTTTCGCTAAGATGAACACCTATATGGAACCAGAAGTGATATATATCCATCTTATAGAGAGTCAAATGAAGAGAATAAAGCTAGAAAGGCAGGGACCAACTCTTGGTGTCTGTTTTACGAAGTTATCCATCTTATAAGGCTGTTTTTTAAGAGAGAGTTGACTGTATTCTGTCATACAATCTCATTAAAAGAAAATTTTGATGTTCTGTACTTGACAACGTAACACCTAATCAGGGTTGTCGCTAAGATTTCAAGTTGCTGGGTATTTGTTGTTAGTAGCCGGGGAAGTCACTAGCAGTCGTGGAGCCCCCCGCTCCCCCAAGAAGTTTTTGAAGTGCAACTTCTACCGTTTTCCAAAAGGCATTACTGCCCAAAAAAAGCAATCTTCATCAAGAGCAGAGCTATCATTGGTGGTTTTATCATGATCACGTCTTTATTAAAGAAAACTACAACATTCTGAGACACTAGAATATTGAGTTTTTATTTTACGTAAAGGCTCGTTGGGGGGTTTTTTTAGTGGCCGCCAAATGGGAATACATGTAAGCTCTGGGTCTGAAAAAGAACGAAACAACTTACGGAAATCAAAGGTAAAACTAATATTATTACAGATGAATTAACCCACGGATGTCAACAGAGATCTACTCAGATCTTTCATCGTGAACAAAGAGTGTAGATTCCTTTGCCACATCTTCGACATGTTCAACACAAAGCCGACACAACGGTTGAAACTGACATTTCGTGAACGGAGAGTTCTCGCGCGTGTGTACTAGTACCAAATCTAAGTAAGATGTCTTTCTTCAACATTTCTCAGTTTTCGCCCCACGAGTTTTCCAAAATCACTTAAACCTGCTGAAGATGAAACTTGCACTTAGTATGATGCATAGTCTTTGTGTGTTTCAAAGGTGTGCTATAATTCAATGCTTATGTCCTTTTTAATGTAGAATTTTCTGGTGCTCTTTTGGTTTAATTTAATGACGAAAGTAGCCGGGGACCATGCTCTGAGTAGCAGGGGGAAATCCCCGGCCCCCGGCCCTTAGTGACAACCCTGCCTAATAATAATAATATTATTATTACTAAAATTTATATGACGCTGTTCAGTGTAATATATGCCTTGTAGTCCTTGTACCAATATACAATGCCCATGTTTTAATTTGGGGACATGGTCAATTTATTTTTATTTGAGAAGGAAAGTGGTTGTTCATATATACGATAAAACCAAGGTAAATTGTTACTCCTGAAACCAAGACCTGACTACCTGAAGCGAAAGCTTTAGTTATAGTGTGGTTCTTACTTATGGAACAATCTTCCCAAGGATGTTCGCACAGCAAATTCTCTAGATGACTTTAAGAAAAAAACTCACTCTCGGTTTTGCTGATCATGTAGTATTCCCAGATGGCAAATTTGTAAAACAGTGTATAGAGAATTTATATATTTATTTTCTATTATTATACTGATATTTTAACTGTGTATAAATCAAGTTTATCGTCATCATCATCATCAACATATTTTTTTGGTGGGTGGTGGGGTTAACGCAAAACAGAGAGGGGTCTTGACAAACTGCGAGCCAGCGAGCCATGCGAGTCACGCGAGGCATCAGTAAAAAAAAAAGGAAATACAAGTAAAAACTGTAAATTGACAGATGAGGAGTTGAGCACTCATAATTTATACTGATTATAGGGTTAAGCACTCATTGTACTGATTAGGGTTAAGCTTTCATTTTACGGATTAAGCACTCATTTTAGGGCTAGGGTTAAGCGCTGTTTAGGGTTAAACACTTATTTACAACGGTTAGCGTTCAGTTAATGTTTTCCGTATTACTGTTTTCGATTTTTGTGGTGTTTTTTTTTTTCAATGATTCTTCAATCGACTGCATGGCTCGCATGACTCGCTGGCTCACATTTTATGCACACTCAACAGAGAGTCTCCAATTGTAGATTCTTCAGAGGTTTGCATCACTGATGTGTATATATGTGCATACATGCTTGTAGGACCAAAAAGATCCAGATGCCAGCTACATTGATATGGAGCCTAATATAAAATTAAATAAGGATGGTGATGTTTATGTGAAAATGCAAAAAGAGGATGGTTCCTATTATTATGTTTTGAGAAAAGAAGCTGACAATGAGCTGTACGTTGACTTGGACTACAAACTTGAACACGAGGAGTATTATGTCAAAATGCAGAAAGAAGGTGGCGGATACTACTATGTGCCCATGAAGCCAGGAGCAGGTCCTGAGAAGACTGATCATGTCGTTGACAAACCGTACAGTAATGTTGCAGGACATGGAGAGCATTACCAGGAAGATATCTATGAAAATTTAAATCAAACAGATCCATCACCGGAAAGTCAAGAAATTTATGAAGACATGGATGGTGAAGGAAATGTGGGAAGTGAAGAATTGTACATGGACATGGAGCACAGTGAAAAATCAACCACCATCTCTGGTGGCGTTCAGCATGGTGCTGATGAAGATTTTTACATGGACATGGCTCATGAAGGAGATGAAGCTACTGAGGAATTATATACAGACATGGAGGGTGCGGGTGAAAGTCCTTCTGACTTATATATATCAATGGAGCAAGGTCTGTTCTGTTTCCATCTGCCAGATTCATATTGTTTACATTGTTAAATGTTACCACTAGCACTTAAACAACAATATGCATGAGCTTTAGCTAAGATGGTTTGAGTTAGGTTATAGCTAGTTTGGTCTCCTCAAGTGATGATAATAAGATCCACGGGAAATTCATAGAATATATTCGTTAAGGATCAATATGATGAGTCAATGCCGGACATGCCAGGAAAATGATCTTGTCTTTTTCTTTGCATTTCCACTGTTATTACAAAGATTTAATCAAAAATGCAAAATTTTAGGACATACTGGGAATAACACGCACATGCAATTATTATCTTGACTTATTCGGCAGCATATGTAGGTGACTCAAAAAACACTCTCGCAATACACAGGAAATATAATTTATGACCTCTTTAATTTCCATGTTAATTAACATGTTAATTTCACAATTGTCACTTAAATCGATTAAAAAGAAATGACTTTTTAAAATATTTAGCTATTCAAAATTGTGTCAAAACTTTTCTTAAAAACATTTATTTTAAAAAAGTTTTAAAAAAGTTAAAAATATACGACGTTTCAATGTTCTCGGACATCATTGTCAAGTAAAAAAAACACAGGATGAATGTTCCATAAATACAAGAAAAACAAAAAGAAAAGTAACATAAAAATAGGTTCCAAGTTAAACAAAGAGTTTAGCACTGATGGAGTCACTCTGAGTGTGAAGGCTAGGCCTCAGTTATCAATTTAATTTGATTAGTAAAATTGACCCTCATTCAAAAAACTGTTTATCAATAGCTGAAATACTTGTGTTAGCAATACCACCGTTGATGAAGGTGTCGGGCTGTGTAGCCAACAATGATCCCGAAATTAATAAGTTAATTAATTTTATTTTAAAAAAGTATTTCTGCATCAATGTCATTCTTATTTTCTTTTAAAAACAGAACAAAAACCAGACAAATATGGTTATGTGACAGCCAGAGAGAGATCAAACCAACCAGTTACAATGGATGTAGTACTTTTTAATCGCTCTGCCAGTAGTGCCGCTGAAGTGAGAGCAAGACAGCTTGCCAATGCTGAAAGAAAAAGCCGCTCACTTCCTGGGGGTATGTATTTCAAAGATTATAGTCTTGGAAAATTTACTGCGATGATCATTCTTCACTTTCAAAGATAAGTCTGTTTAGAAGCAAATTTTCCAGTTGATGTACTGTCACCATACAAGTAGACTTCCTGCAGTCAGTGGTGATTGGCTGATACTATCCACACCCAGTTTAAAATAGTAATTACTCTGAGTCACATGTTATTCAAAGTTGATGTAATAGGAATATTATCGTTTCTTCCATTCTGACATCTTTCAGGTGTGTCTCAGGCAGACCTTTTAGAACAAGCAATTCGACAGAGTGTTATTTCTGGAAAGATATCAGGCAAGGAGGCGAGCCAGTTCTTACAGAAACTGGAGATATCAGTAAGGCTCATTTAAATCCATCCATTAATAAATATTTTTAAGGTCCTTAAAACTACTGTATAGTGGTTGCTTCATAGAAAGTGTTAAGTGCTACATACTGTCATAAAATAATTCTTTTTTTATTCACTGTGCAGGAAACAAATGAATATTGTTTTTAATTGCTACACTTGTTCAGTGTCACTTTGTTACATTTTTTGGATAATATCAAGGAAAACATTTAAAATCAAAAAATAAGTGTATCTGACTTAGACTGTGCCATTTCAATGTGATTTTAAAAGACAGTGTATGTGCAGTGCACGTAACACATGCATTGACAAAGGACATAACTCAAAGAAAGGACAGCAAGTCAGTGCAAGAAACTTTGTCAACCGACAGGAATGAACAGCGGTGATAAAGTTCCTGGAGACAATCAGGGGTAATGGAAACAGTCATGTTTTCGGTATGAACAAAGATACCTAAGAACAGCATAGAAGTAGCAGGGGGAGATTCTTTTTCAGGAGAGGAATCCAAACCCGGGGCTGCGAGAAGGGTGCCAATTTAGGCACAGAATGCGTCATATGACTGTTCTTGAATCTCTGCTTTACCGAAGTCATCAATGAAGTTTGTACAGTGGTTGCCAAGACTACTATACATGAAAGTGAAGGGAGATGTAGTGCAATGACACATCATGGCTGAAGACCAAAGACCAAAAGAGGGGGTGATATTAAACTAGAAAGAGCCACGGTGACAGAAACTGAGAAGGTGGTAGTCGCGAGGCCGGGTCGATACAGAGTACAGACGTTGAATGATAACAAGGTAGGCCACACAAAATTCTGCCAGAGAAAGATCAGCATATAATTTAGCCTCACCTGGAGCCTAAACATGTGGCCACTGCTGTGGACGAAGATATCTTCTGTGGAGCCTTTGTGTCACCAAGAGACTTTATGCTGGATGTTGCTTCAGATGTTGGTGAGATTGTTGAATGTTTATTCTTGAGCTGATCAGAGCCAATTGCAGCTAAAGCTCCAACTTGAGTTTGTGTATTTCCCAATCATTATTGTCTTTAAGTAGCTGAAGGTGCATAATTTCGTCTCGACTGTGTCAAGTTTACTTTTTGAACTTTAGTGGCTTGTATGCCAGACAGGTCATGCAAGAAACTCCCGCAAGGTTGTCTACCAATCGGCAGTAAAGGCCTTCACAATGCATGGCTCCTGTATTCACTTTTTTCTTGCCCTTCTTTTCTTTCTTCTCTGGTGGGGCAAATTGCTGTGATGTGGCCTCAGCTACCTTACACAATATGTCACCGTGCAGACTGTTTGATCATGGTAATAAATCCCATGTACTCAAAATCAGTGCTCAGAGGTGTCAAGAAGCACCATGAGTGACACGAGGGCTTAAATGAGACATGGTGAAAAGATGAGAATTGTGGTGAGGAAATTTCGCAGAGAAACAGGAATAATGAGCATCATAGCCATCTCAATCAATAAGTCAATAATTAACCTAAATATTAAATCAAACACACTGCCTGCTTGTTTTACAAGTGTGCCACATGCTCTAAAAATACTAGCCACCCACAAATGTAGGCAATGTTATTAAAGTGCCCAGGACCAAAACCACAAACTTTGACAAGATTGGTGTGCTGCACACGTGTCCAGTGAAGGCTTTCATCAAACTGATTAAGCTTCCCACCTCATATTCACCTTTCCACTTGGCAAGCTCGGCTGTCTTTTTTTCTGACTTATATAATGCACTAGCTAACACACGGTTCAAGTTATTGAGAGTAAAATCCTGCAAAAATGATCTAAAGAGAAACAAAAATTACTTCAAGTTGGCAGGAAGTTTGAGTTATTTATTTTATTTTATTTTTTAAAATTTATTGTCAACTCCCCTTGGGGCTTTTCAGAGACAAATATTAATAGTACAGGTAGTAAAAAAACAAACAAACAAACAAAAAAAATACTTAAGAGGTTCAAGTTACCGAGGGTGAAATTGCAGTAAATCAAGTATGATGGAAATCTAGGGGAGAGAATCAATTTTGGTTTGAGTCAGTGAGGGTTTAAGTTATTGGGAGTCAACTGTTTAATTATTATTTGTTCTTTTGGTTGGTTTTCTCATGTGTAATCACATGTTTGTTTACCTTCACATAATTAGTCAAGGGGATTAATATTAGAGGAAAGAAGAGGATCAATAGGCTCTAAAGCTTCCATATCAAGTAAGCCAGTAGAATCTATTCTTGAGTAAATGTTACCTTAAATAGAGGCTTTTCAATAGGTTTCTTTCATCCTGTTATCCTGACCAAAATCTTATATTCCTTTGATACGTTAATCAAGATTGTTTTTATCAGCAAATCCTTAAACTTTCCAAAGTGTTTTAATAACCCATGGATAAATTGCAAAATTAATGGACTGGTCGAGGTACAGTTTCTCCAAAGCAAGCTTGTTGTCTTCAACCAGTTACCTGGGTACACAAAAAATATTGTGTGTGAAAATAGTGACAGTTACCCTATTTTTTAATTTGCAGCCGCAAGTAGTTCTGGGAGTATAAGCAGCAGCGGAGTAAGTTCCGGACATGAGGTAACTCTAACCCGGTAATGGAGAATCAGTCTAGGTTAAAATCAATTTAACCTGAATTTTATTTTGACTTTAAAGAACGAATTCATTGCAAATGCATCCCCATGCCTTGAAATCTGGAGTACACCCCAAAATTATCATGGTTATTTCTAATCCTAATGAAATTTGTTTGATATCTTCTTCATAACTTCCGTAAATCCTCTATTAATCCCCCCTCTCAAATAAGCCCCCTCCCCCTCTAATAAGCCTCCCATCTCTATTAAGCGCCCACTCCCGGGATGGGTTATTATTTTACCAACTGGAAGTTCAGATTTGATTCCGATCCTCGGCTGCTTGACCTCCAACCTTCTTGTTCTTGAGCTTCTCCACTTTGTATTCTAGTTCTTTATTAAGAACTGATACCATCGTCTTTTCTAAATTAAAGAAGCCTCCCAACCAACCCCCCCCCCCCCCCCCCCCCCCGCCCATTTGCCGCCTCAAATGGGCTTGAAATAGAGGATTTACAACAGAATTTTGTGTGCTATGGTTAAAGGTACTAAGGAATGACTTCTGCAGATTGACCTAAAACAGCAACATCATCATGATGACATAGCCTCTTTAATGACATTTAGGATTTTGGTCAGATCAGGTATCTCAACAACTGTATGACTTTTTTTATGTCATGTGTTTAGGATGAACCCCCTACACCCCCTCGCCCAGACTATCATCAGAGGGACAAAACCACAGGTTCCTCAGGTATACATATTTTTATTTTTTATGTTATTCTCTTATTCAATGCCTATCCTCTTCATGCCCCATGGCTCATTAGGCCTTATGGACCTTTTCAACCTCTCCCTGTTGGCTTCATGTTTTATCTGACAGGTGCACATAAGCTGCATCCCAAATTTTGGATAAAGAAAGCTGCAGCTTATCTGCAAGTGTTTTATGGTGTACATGCAAGGCAAGCAACCATACTAGAAAGTATACATTATGTAGAAAGAAATTGCTTAGGCTTGCATGACCAAAAATAATAATAATAATAATAGTAATAATAATAATAATAATGACTTTTATACAGAATCCACAAAGTGGCTCTTCGCCTGTACTCTAAAAGCTATCAAAACTAATATTCTAGAAATTTACAAAATGTGCTAACAATTAAATTCTATGGGAATAATTAAAAATAATAATAATAAAATAAATAAATAAACTGTAAAAATAAAACAAAATGTCTCTGTGTCATTGAAATAGAGTCGAATCCAGAGCATGATAACAAAAGAGACCATAGTCCTTAATGTTTCTGACGTGGGTTGGGAGACGGTTGAAAAAAGTTGCGGCAGTGTCCTGAAAGGTGCCAGATTCTTTGGGGATACATTATAGTGAAGCAAGGGGTGAAACCAAACCTCCCTTGGTCGCTTTGACGAGAAAGCGGTGTTCAGAAATGCTCTTTTAGCCTTTCCGATGACAGTTCCGGAACGCAGTTCGGAACACAGTCCATGTCTCATCAGTGCTACGGCAACGAGCTTGTGCCCTTAGCTTGTCCCTAGTAGTTTGCAACTCACGTAATATCTCATTAGATGCCATCCATGAGGTTGGTGGTCGCGTTACCTTCACTTTCTTCAAAGGGGTGTGGCGGTCTAAGCACTCAGTCACAAAAGAGTTAAGTGCATCCACCATATCATCTGGTGACTTTAGTCCATAGATGACATTCAAAGGCAGAGACAAGAAATCTTGTTTAAACAGTAGCATGTCAAGCTGTTTCTCATTGCGTATGTATTTATGACGGGGTGCATATCTTGTAACTCATACGTTGATAATCATGTAAACAGTGTCATGATTACTCACAGATGGAGCTGGAAGTACGTCGGTGTGAGCAACTCTCAAGGGATAGTTAGAGATGATGTGGTCAATCAGGGATTTCATAGTGTGTGTGACTCTGGTTGGTTTTGTAATGCTTTGATTCAGGTTTAAGGACTCTAAAATGTCCCTGTACTGACACTCAAATGTTACTAATGAAATTGTTTCAGTTCTGCCTACTCCTTGTGGATCCGTTTTATCCTGGGCTCATATTTTATTTTCCCTTGTTTTAGGATGTGTGTGTTTGACAAATGTATTTAAAAGAGGGGAAAAAAATTTCAATCAAGACATGAATGTTTCTGAGTTATATTTTGCAACTGAAATTAAATAAAAGGCTTGCCTCAAAATTTCTTTTATGTGCTTCACAGACAGCAGTAGCAGAAGACATCGTTATAAAACAGCACCTTTGGAGACAAAAGATTTACCAGGGCTGCTTAGTGCAAGTGGTTCACGGCTCCCTGCTCCTGTCCAACGACGAAGTAGTTCACCAGGTATAGTAGCATGCATCAACGTTATACTGTTCTACATGGTGTAGATCAGGAGTCCTTACATCTTGACCCCTTTTGAAAGCACATGCCTGAAAGTATAATTCATATATTAAGTTGTTTTGGTGGGGGAAAGCCCCTCTGGGTGACAGTAAACCCTCTCATATTAGAACCTATCATTTCGGGTTCAGGCTGATCAAGTTCTTAGTTAGCAGGTGCAAAATGAGAAATCAGGCTGAAAATGTTAATAAAAATGTAATGTTCCTAAAATTTGTTTTAGAAATACTATACATTATACGTTACTAGAGGTTCAATTAACATACAATATTTTATTATTTACATTAAAAACTTAATTTCATATAAAATTAATAAACTAATTTTTATTACTTATAAAAAACATTAACAGGTTAAAAGTCAACCTCAAGTTGTAATGCAGTTTTAACATTTCATAACATTCCTTAGCTCTCTAGGCCAGCAGCCCTTCTCCTACCCCTGCAAATTGGTCTTCAATACTGCAGCATCCAGCACACCATAGTACTTCAAATGAGTTACTGTAAATTGTTTGTTTCTTATTCTGGCAACCTCTTTCTTTTTATATAAGAACACATGTTCTATTCATCTGGCTGAATTAATTGTTTCTTATATATATGGTGCTTTACTGGTCAACTTTCAGCCTGTTGATTTTAATCCACTGTTCTTATATGTGGGTGTTTACTGTACTTGCCATTTTCTTTAACAGCTGAAAAACTCAATCACCTTTTGTAGATTTTATATGCTGTACTTATTAGTTCATTGACCTTCAAAAATACATTAATAATTCATAAAGAAAAAACAAAAGAAATTAATGTTTAATGAGGGTCTTTATATGCGATAAAGAAACGTTAAACTTTACATCCAATGTTTTAGACCAAAATAACCCCATGTCTAAATATTAGTGTAAGAATAAGTTGATCTATATAAGAGATTTTGAAGCCGTTCAAAAAGCCCGCCGTCATGTATTCAGGTTTAAAAACTCTTGCCCTCGCCTTGAGTTTTTAAAACTGATCATACACTCCTACTCGCTTTTTAAACAGTACAAAAAAGTTATGTGTTACATTGGACCTGTGTGGTGTTATCAGTTATCTTGTTTCAGTTTTATGCACACTGATATGTCACTGTATCTTTTCTCTAGGTGGCGTGGGCTACAATACACAGTTAAAGGTAAATTCCTCTTAAATAAATTTGCTTTATGTTAATTTTTCAAAACGTCACATGTTGAAATTACCATTTTGTTTGCTTTCCTTTTATGTTAGGAGCCATCATCTGAAAGGCAGAGGCCTCCTGAGCCCATACCAGAGTCAACACCTCCTAAAGTTGCACCTCGTCCTTCACCCCGCCCTCCTTTGTCAACTCCCTCTGATGCAACAAGATCTCCTGCTCCTATTCCACCCTCTGAGAGAGTCAGGCACGCTGGAGTGGCTGTCCTCCCAATGCCGACTGCTAAAGGTTTGTCTACTTGTATCTTATGCTTTATGCATGGCTATAGTAATTGATTATACCAGTTATAAGAGTCCGTGAGGCTGCAGGGCCCGGCGGTTAACACACTGGAATTGCAATCCAGAGGTGCTGAGTTCAATCCCCGCAATAGCCATTAGCTAGATTTGTTCTCAGTAGTCTCAAGTGCAACTCCTTGGTCACACTTGTAAGTAAGCAACTGGTTTGCCTTTTGCCAGTTGGCGTTATTAAAATAAAGAAATAAAATGTCTTTATTTCGCCCGCTAAAATTTGCAACAAACGTTGCGGAGGGTGAAGTATACAAATCATGAAAATCGCACAGATTATTAACAATTATCATATAAAACATGGTAAAACATTGGATATCTACATTGTTTAATTGCTAAGTTGTATTTAAACCTTCTTCTATTAAAGTAACAATTCTTAAAGCGTTCTGTATTAATCCGTGGTAATTGAGTTGCTTGTGATCTTAACCTCTTGAATGACTCTTTGACTTTCGGCAAAAGGGCATATAATGGATGGTTAACATTGCTCTTAATTGTGGTGAACAACCTGCGGTCACACTTTGCTAAAAGGTCATAGATATTAACTCAGAAGTGTAACGTCGCTTTTTGCACCTGTTTAATGGCTGGCTCCATTGACTGGAAGTGCGTACGTGATCTTTGGCAGAACAATAGCCTTAACGAGGTGGTCTATCGCTACCTGCGTGTATGCATCCTGTCTTAGTGATCTTAAAATGTACAAACACTTGTTTCCTTCTCGAAGCTTTCCCTTAACATGAGATGAAAACTTACAGTCGTTTTGTAATGACACGTATAATTCTTAAACATGTTATGTTTATTTCAACTACCTTTTTCTGTTCTCCAGTATTATGTAGGCCATAATTACCAGTAATTGTGTTAGCCTTTCAAAGTCAAGTTTTTTTTCTAAAATATTATTATTAAATCACATCACAACTTAATAATGTAAGATGTACTAGTGTAATTGCGATTGATTTTCTCTCTCAACATCCGAGTTCAAACCATGGACTTTGGGAGGCAAAGAGGGTTTCTACTTGATGGAGAGGACCTGCCTGAGAAGGTGGGCTGTAGAAAGGAGAGTTATTTTCTGGAGTTCATGTATGTTGATTTTGCCAGGGATTTTGTTGGTGTAGTTTTCTATGTCCTTCTTTATGGTGCCAAGGGTTCCTATAACCACCGGGACTGTTGTTGTTTTGAGCCCCCACATTCGGTCAACCTCGATTTTCAAGTCTTTCTATTTGTTACGTTTAGCTTTTCCGTGGTTTTGACTGAGGTGTTGGTGTCGAGGGGTATAGTCAAGTCAATATGTCAATGAGAAGGCAGGTTTTGTCCTTCTTGTTCTTTAGCATAATGTCTGGCCTATTAGCTGCAATGGTCCTGTCAGTGTGGATGGGCATGTCCCACAGAATAGTGACGCTGTCATTCTCGGTGACAGTCTTGGGTTCATGCTCATACCATCGTTCCTTCACCTCAATGCCAAACTCTTTGCAGATCATCCAGTGCGTGTGTGTAGCTGCCTTGTTGCGGCGGCGGATGTATTCAGTTTTAGCCAGTCAGGGTAGCCAGAGACCAGGTGGTCAAGGTCTCATCGAAACGGCCACACAGTCTACATTTTGGGTCTACGTCAGGCTTCTTGAGGATGTTGTGTTGGTGCCAGCGTGCTGGGAGGCTTTGATCTTGGGCTGCGATGATAAAGCCCTCGGTTACTTCCTTGAGGCCACCTGCTTTTAGCCATCTGTGGGTCTTGTCTTGGTCCACGTCAGCCTGTTTCACCCGTTGTGGGTATTTGCCGTGGAGCGCTTTTGACTCCCACTTGGACCTGAGCAGCTGGCGACCCTGGTGTTTGGCCGTGGCCTTTGTTCTGCGGGCATAGGTGGTGTTGGCTCATCCTCTGCAGCTGGTATTGCAGGCACTCCCAGTTCCCGACTGAACTTCATTGACGGTCTGCTGATGAAGTTCAAGGATTTCCTGTCGTCATGGTCTTTGACAAAGTGAAGAGTAACGCATGTTAACTCCAAGTGTAACCAGGGAAAAGCAACATCCACACTCTTTGGTAATACCAAACAAAATTTCTCATGGAAGTCCGATAAAATGAATGTCAAGTTTCACAAGAATTGTGATTACATAGGTAAAATTCTGAAAATTTCTTGTGTACGACGTAACTTTGTGAAATTTGACATTCATTTTCTTGGGTTCCCATAAGAATTTTTTTTGGTGTTACTACAGATGATTTATGACATCTTTAGCCCATAGGGAACCCACGCTCTTATTTGTAACCTGCAAATGGAAATTAAATAAGAGAGCAAATCTTACCTGTTTTATTATATTCTTGAATCCGCTGTGGTGCAAAGTGAAATGGAAGTTGTTTTACTATGCGAAAAAATAGAATGCTACAGTATCGAAGGTTCAAATCGACGCTTTAACCGTTGTTGATTTCACAGTGCTTTGTGTGGTTTGGCTCTCATTTCACTGCTGGTGTCACACGCCGATTGTTATTATCGTTTCGCGTTTCATTGTTGGTCATGAATTTATTAACAATTCGAGAGAGAGTAAGGGCGTGTTTACATGGAGGTTGGGGACACCAGGTAGGTGAGGTAAGCCGCTTAGGTGGGGTAAAAACATAACCCTCCTTTACATGCAATCTTATAAGCTCGTAGACTGCAAAACAGTCGGTTTTTTTTCTCAAAATCAGTAAAGAAATCGGTAAAGCGTGGCGTAAGAGTCTTGCGCGCGCGAAGCGCGTGAGCCTCACACGCTCGTAGGGCGTGTGAGGCGAGAGAAAAAAAAACGACTGTCCGTTTTCCATACAATGAGTTCGTTCCGACCAGGGGGTTCAAAAATGTCGTCGAGCTGTCAAAAATCTGTTCGCAACTCCGCCCTCTTTGTGAATTTGATAGACTCGCGTGTTATTATTGACGCTGTAATCCAGTAATTCTAAAGCAGTTTTTAGCGTTGCTTTCCTGTGAAATGTAGTGTATATAGTGAAATGTAGTATATATAGTGGAGGATCAAAAATGAGTGAAAGAGGCAGTACGACAACAAAGCCTGTGCCTGCTCCTCGAAGAGGGAGAAAGCCGAAAGAGCCGAGGGCTTTGGACAAATTGTAGAATGTGCGGCTGTTGTTTCAAAACACATTTCGGCAATTTTACGAATGGATGGATAAGCTTGTTTGTTGCGCCTACCAGAAAAGGGGAAACGTTACCAAAGTGGGCCGACCTACTGAAAAACGAACTTTTCGTTGTCCTCGAGGAAGGAGAATCTTTCTCCAACAAGAGCAGTTTGCTCTCTGCGGAACAACGGTTAGAAACTGCCCTGGGAAACTGCACGGCGATGCTTTCGCAAATTAGAGAAGAACTGAACACGCCAACTGACAATGAACAATTATTGCGATTGAAAAGAATGAGTAAATCCCCTCATTCCAAACCACGTCTTGGTGATTTAGCTCTGTAAATTACTATCTGTGAGAATTTAAAATCCTGCCAAAAACGCTAACGAGGTGAGCCCAGCGTGACAAAACATTGCAGGAAAAAGTCACATTCACGGACACAAAGAAAATCGCTTAAAATCATTCAAATCCAGGAGGCACTTTGGAGAAATAAAACAACCTAAAACCCTTAATCAGCCGCAACGAAGAGCTGTACATTTCTAAAGGGGCGAAGAAAGAAAATGCTCTTGCGTCAGAGGGCAAATCATGCCTACCAGAGAAAATCAATATGCGTGTCACGACCTCTCAGTATGAAATATATTTAATAAGCGGCCAAAATTCACATTTGCTCAGTCAAAACGTTTTCCTCCAAAGCATAATCTACTCGACAGAGAAAACAATTCATTGGAACAAACGGCATGTTTGCATGAGGTAAAAGTCGTGTGTTTCCTACCGATTCCGCTTTTTTAGCCAGGCGAGATCGGCCGTTGCACGGAACGTGAAGAACTCTTTGCATGAACAAACATCCGATAAATAAGGCTTTTGTCAAATCCTGTTGGTAGAACACAGAAAACATCCTTTCCTCTGAGTAGCAACTCCAAAGCTTCCCTCTGCTCCGATTTTGAAACAAATCCCAATTCTTGCGAGCAAATCCAGGCGATCAACATCTGTCATTTTACAACGAAAGCTTTAGCAATTCATCACGGTATGGAACAACGTGAATGACTTGTTGAAAACATTACTTGACAGCTTGGTGACAGCTTCCATCGAAATTTAGCCAATGGGAATTGCCCGTGGCTGGGAGAAGCGGGTAATTCGAACGAATATAACGTATGCAAAACGGACAGTCCGTATTTTTAGCGTCTCTCCCCAGTCTCGCTCTCTGTTTTCAGCCTCGTTTGACTGCTCGCGCGTACTTGAATACGCAAAAATACGGACTGTTTTGCAGTCTAATAAGCTCGCCATCCTGGGGAGCACTTTCTCAAGATTATTGAATGGTCGCTAAGCTCGTAAGCAAGAAAAACGCCGGCAAACCACGTGTTTTGGCATTTTATGCTCTTCTACACTCACTTGCTGCTCTTGCTGCAACCTTCAGTACTGTAGCATTCTATTTATACCTTTAATAATGATGTAAAGCCACCGCCAAAGTGAATTTTGCTTGAATTTGATGTATCACTAATCCGACCACCGCTAGGCGGATTACTCCACCTTGAAACGTTTACATGGCAAAATGTGACCCCGGCTGAGAGGGTTACCCGTTCTAGCAGACCGGGCTACCCGCCTTGGCGGGTAACCCCTCGTATCATGTAAACGTGATCAAATTAAAATGAGAGAATATATGGACTGGCAGGTTGCCCCACCTACGCGGGTTACCTCACCTACCTGGGGTCCCCCACCTCCATGTAAACAGGCCCTAAGAGAAAAGAGCTGTATACTAAATCCAGATATTATGCACGTAATGTCAGATCCCGAGGGAAACAGTTAGTTTTGTTTTCCCGAGAGTCCTGATGCATAACATCAGGACTCAAGGGAAAAAACAAAACTA